ACGGCTGCAAGGACAGACACAGTGGATAGGCCACACACTGCTAGGTAAGATAAAACTTTTCTGGGGGGCAATTTGGCAGCATCTATTATATCACAGCTCAAGCAAGCATACCTATCCCATGGCCAAGCAACTCCACTTGTAGAAATTAACCATAAGTATTTAGACATGTTCCCAATTACATGTGTTTACAAACGTTCCTTGTGTTGTTTGAATAGTGAAAAACTGGAGACAAATGTCTATCAATACGGGAATGGTTTAAAATATATGGCATATCCAAATTATAAAAAACTACACAGTGGTTAAAAACATTGGGGTAGACTTACTTGCCAACTTTGACATTCACATGAAAACATTTTCAAGACTGGTTGGTAAGTAAAAAAAAAAAAATAAAGCAAAGCCCAGAAAAATGGATAGGGAATGACCTTATTTATGTTTTTTTAAAAAGGCAAAAGTCCTGTTATACAGGTAAAAGCACGGCAGAAGGAAGGGTATACCACCAAGTGTTAGAGCGCTCAGTCCTGGGAACGGGGAGGGGAGCAGGGGATTTTCGCTCTTTGCACTGTATTCTTACCTGCCCCTTGAGCCTTGCAGGGCTAATAACAAGAACGCTGTTAATGCTACTCTTAAATTATTTGTGTAATTAAAGAATAAAAGCTATGGCATCAATGTGTTTTTTGGCATGATAGTTACACAAATCTATACATGGGAAGAAAAAAGGGTCAATTTTACTGTATGTTAATTTAAATAATAAAAGTTAAAAACAAGGGAAAAAATAAAAGAAAGACTAGCGGAAATGATGCCACAAAGTGAAAAGAAGTTGCTTCTGGATTGTGGGATTACAGGTAGTTTTTTTCCTTGATGAATGATATTTCTCCATCCCTTCTAGATTTTCTACAAAGATCGTATATCACTTTGAGAGTAAGACAAAAATAAAGTTAAAAGCTTATTTTTTTAAAAAAAGGTGATGGCAGAAAGTCTGGAGTCTGACAGGGACCTGCTGCCAGCGACGGCCGGGCTCCTGGAAGGAAGGCTGAGCTGCGGCTGCCAGCACACACCTGCTGGTGGAGAGCTGCCGTGGAGAAAACATCTTGTCTGGGGCCTCTTGCCAAGGAACAGGGGCCGGTGGGCGGGCGGCACTTGGGGACAGAGCTGCGTGGCTCCCGAGATCCCCGCAGGGCTGGAGAGAGGAAGGGCAGGGGTGCTCTGCACCTCCCGCAGCTTCCTTCTTAGGCCCAGCAGAGAGACTCGCTGCTCCACAGGGACGCCCCTCCCTGTGATCCTAGGGTCCCCGACTAATGGCACTGTGTCCCTTCCCTGCCTAGCACAGGCCTGCTTTCATGGAGAGGGACAAAAGCCAAACAGCGACGGGAGGATGACTGACAACAGACAGTCTGATTTTCTCATACAGAACACTGCAGAAAGAAATGAAAGGTGCCATGGGGCAGCAGCAGCCAGTGTCCTGCTGACACACCCTTTGTGGACGCCATCTTTGTCCTCGGCAGGATGAGTGCTGGGCCCGAGGCTGCGTGCAAGGCCCCATGCCAAGGGGCAGAGGGTGCACAGGCACGAAACCTGCTGACAAAGGGAAGTGCTGAGTGACAGAAGGGCTGCTCTGGGCCACACGCGGCACTGCAGGCACGCCCCTGTCGGAGCCCTTTGCTCACTCCCGGCCTGCCCTCCCCAGGACACCTGGCGCAGCTCCTGGAAGGCAGGGCTGTGGGGAGACCCGGGGCAGGACCAGAGCCCACCTAGGCAGAGGGCCTGGTGCTACGGCTGGCCTGTGCTTATTTGCTCAGCGGTGACTCAGGCATCAGATGTAGAAGCCACCAAAGAGTCTGTGGCACGGCTTCTAAGGACTCCTGTCGCTGGGAGAGGGCGGGAAGGGAGGTGATGTGGCCGTGAGAGGCTGAGGGGGCAGTGAGTGGCAAGAATGCTGGGAAGACAGGGCAAGAGCAGGGGCCCACAGAGGTCCCAGGGGCAGTCCAACTCCAGGGAATGGATGATGCACAGCAACGGGGCGGGGCTGTGTGCCTCCCTGCCAAGAGCCCAGGAGTGCGGCTGCACAGGCACTCCATGAACGTTTCGGGCAGAGAAGTGACTTACCTCTAGAACCTACAGGTGCCAAAGAGGACCCACCTGGAGCAGGTACAGGTTAGGAGGGAAGCTGAAAATCCTTTGCCTTCCCGGCCTTTCAAAGCAGGACCAGGAAGGAAACGACCATGGACTGAGCACTCACGATATGCATAGAAATAACACTGCTAAGACAGACCCCGGTTCTCCCTGGGCGTCAGTATCAGGAATCATTTTAATTTTCTTCTCTATGGTTTCCTACAAACATCCCTTTATAAAATGAACATGCATTACATTCATAATTAGTAGACTCATAAAAATAAATTCAGCCTTTTAATTTGAACCCCACTATTTCGGTTCTATTGGGATGCTTTAAAATCTTAATGCGATTGTTTGATATTTTAGTTGGCTCTCCTTTTTCCAACTCTAACCCTTGTGGATGTGTAACTATGCCTTGTTTTTTTACAGCTTCAACAAAGTTGCAGATTAAAAAGGTACACACACTCTAGACAGAAGCAGGGCCAGATTCACAGTCACAGTGCACCAAGGGGATGGAAAACAGCAACTCACTTTGTCAAATGTCTTGATAAAAAACAAAAAGACATGCTAATTCATCAAGCTAGTAATCCTATGCTAAGAAACAAACAAAGCACACCCGGCAGTCCCGAATAGAATCTATGGTGCATTACACTGACAGATCCCAACCCGTTTTTCTTCTAAATCTCCAAAATGGTCTGTTTCCAAACTACTCCCTATTTGGCCTAGGTCTGACACCTGTAATATAATTTCCAGAGTTCACCTGTTCTGCACTTGGGAAACCTGGAGCAGTACTGCTGGTCTCTGGCCTCCTGTTATTTGTCCTTTTCTCTGGGTCTCTCAAACAATAAAAAAGCAGGTTCTGAATACTGGGGGCTTTCTGGAGCACTCTGGCACGAGGTGCAAAGCCAGGCAGATAAGAGCCCTCTGCTCTCAGTTCATTTGCCCTGAGCTCTGAATTCCCTTTTAACTTTGTGCATCCCATCCCTTCTCAGCCTAAAGACTGTGTTCCTAGACGAAGCAGCGTGCAGAGAGGAGATTATTTAATGCAGAGCCATTGCCATCTGACGGAAATGTTAACGGGCAGTTCATCAGGAAATTAACTGCATGCTTGTGCCCTGACCCTCTCACTCTGCCAGCCCAGCAGAAATCAACCCGCAAACACAGAGCCTTGAATGGCCAGGGATTGGTGGGTTCTCCTGACTCTGACTGGAAGCACAGACACATGGGGGTGAGGAAGCTGGAGCTCCCCAAGGAGGAAGTGAAAACAGCCTTCCTTCAGGGAGGCAAGCAGAGTGATTTCAACATAATAACTTCCTGCAAGACTTGCTTCCATCAGCAGCGGGCCAGGAGAGCAGATTTTAATGGGAGACCACTGCAGTGCTGCCTGGCTGGCCTAATGGTGGGCAGTTTTTCAGGTACCTCTAACCTTGGGGACACTCTTACCAAGGCCCTAGCAGACTTGGGGGTGATACCCTCTTAAAGCCCTGAATCAGAGTCATGCAAGACTGGAGGATCTTTGAAACTTAGTTTTTAGGGCTTTTTGGTCTGTTTTCTAGAAACTCAGAAGAGCCATAGGAAATACTTTCTTTTGTATCTGCTTAAGAATTAGCACTTACAAGAAAGAAAGAGTTAGGGAAATTCGCAGAGATAGCACGCTTATGAACAATTCCTGGACTAACCAATCCCATAGGTGCTGTGGGGGAAGGGGAGAGGGCAGGGACCCGTTCCTCCTGGATCATAAAGCTCTTGAAGTCAAAAGCAGTACAGGACTCACAGAGCAGTGGACAGTCTATGTCAGTTCTCTGTGCGGCAGTCTCCTTATCTGTAAAATGGGGCTATTCATACTCACTTTGTGGCACTGTGGGTACAATGAAAGGAGACAACCCTTTGGGAAGGCACTTTGTCATTACCATAGGGTGACAAAACTGCTGGCACAGGACCCTTATGATTAAGAGGATCAATAATGTATCCTCATCCCAGAATATGCCTCTATGGACTACACTGTCCCTTATGCACTGTGACATAGCAATTATGGCATTGATCTGCGAGGCACTTACTTCTTGCTTTTCTTCCTCCTCCACAATCTCTTACCTACCAACACTGGGCCAAAGAACTGGCAGCAGGCTACAAGAGAAGAGCACCCTACACATGTACACCTGCCCCAGGCTGCGCTGCGACTGCCCATCAGATGTCTAGAGCCAGCTCTGTGCCCAGGGCTGCTGTTCCCTGGTTCTCACAGGCCCTTCCTTCTTCCCAGGAGTAGCCTTCCCCCTCTTGGAAACCAACTAGTCAATTTTCCATTCTCCACAGGGAGGATACTGGCCCAGAAAAATCCTGAGCTACAGGCCTTCCAGCCACTTTACAAGCACATTTTATGGCATTTACTTCCTTGATTCACTGTGGTCGTTTCAGCCTGAGACTGAAACCAGGTGAAGCAGAAAGAAGGCAACCTAGATGCGAGAAGATCTGAGGCTCCAGCCTGGCCTCCCTGTGCCCGCTCAGCTACTGGGCAAGTACAGGCCCCCCACACCCCCCATACAATGAGGGGCAACAGCTGCTTATCATATCTGAGAGTACTTCCAGCCCTAATTCCTCCAGCGCATGCTGACTTGGAGGAAGCTGCTCAGACCCACGGGTGGTGGAGCCTCACTGAGCTCTAGCTAAGGGACACAGCAGCCTTAACAAGACTGCCATGCTTTTTCCATGGTGACACAGGGTGGACCTGGTGCACGGTGAGGACGGGGACCTGGACTGTCACCACTGCATCCCCTGGCTTAGCATGGGTCCTGGCAACCAACAGGTAAGTGCTGGCTGGACTCACATCCAAAGCAGCACGCCCACCCTACTCTGAGAGCCGGCAGGTGGAGGCGGAAGAGCAAAGTTCCACTCACATGGGGCATGGAACATGACGAGGACAGAGGAGTGTTCCTTCACAAACTGGTCAAAGTCTTCGTCGGTCAGGTGATAAACGGAGCCGCCCTCATCTGCCCAGGGAGTCTCGGGGACCTGGGGCTGTGGCGGCTGTGGACTGGAAGACCAAAAACAGGCAGAGCTCAGAGCAGGCCCCGGGGCCCGAGCAGCCCTTCCAAGATCCAGCCCCCGGACACAAAGCCCCCACTGGCTTGGCATGGCCCACTCCAGGGGCCTGGACTTTCGAAAGCCAGAAAGCGCCCCTGCGGAGGAGTCGTGGGGTGAGTGGTGTGGCCCTGCCCACCTCCACCTTCCCCGCAAGGCCCAGAGAAGCTCTTAGCAGATGTCCTGTTACAACTAATGGCTTTTAGTTATAGCTCTCTAGGTAGCTCAAGAAATCTCACTTCTCCCCAGAAATCTGGGGGCTTGTTAGCTTTCTCAAGCTACTTCAAACTTTTAGGGGACTGGCAAGAATAAATAGCAGTAGGAAAAAGTGACCTTTGGAAAAGCTCACAGTTGTGTTTACAGCTGCCCAGAGGGCAGTGGGGGGGGGATGGGATAGTAGAGGGGAGGGGCGAGGAGGCCAGGTGTCTGAGAAAGACCAAATCTGGGCCAGGCAAGGGGACACTGCCAAGTTAGGGGTGCAGGGGCGTTCACTGAGCAGCCTGGGTCGCGGTGAGGAAAGCGAGGCCAGGGGTACCCTAACTCATACCCTATGTCACTGATCCTCCCCAGAGGCCAAGAACAAACTCATCCAGCTCTCCCAGAGGCCAAACCAGCTCTGCCAGCCCTCAGCTGCACAACCTTAGGCAGCTGCCTGACCTCTCTGGGGCTGATATCCATATCCCCAGCTGTTAGAAGAGGGGAGGCTTGCAGGTGCCCTCCCTTGCTCCCAAGTTCAGGACGATACTGCAGTGACACAAACTCCCTGCTGCTTTACTGCCACAAGCACCTTTGCCAGGGCACCTTAATTGCAGCTTTGCAAAAACCCTCGAGGATGACAAATGTGAAAAGACAACCATTGTTTCCTGCCTTTGAGAGCCTACAGGAGAAAAAAATTTCAAGTTCCAGCAGCCAGGACTGGAGAATTCATCAGAAAGAGCAATGTAGCCAACACAATGGACTCAGCCACCCTGCCCCCACCTTTCTACCCCCCGCAGAAGCCTGGGTTTTGATGTCATCTTCAGAAACCCACTCTGGTGCTTCTGATTCGGCCCCACTGGCAGTCACAGCCTCCCTGTTCCCAAGAAATGGAAAGAGGCAGGGAGAGGGCAAATCCCTCCCAGCCACACATACCCAATGTCAGGCAGGACTGGCGGCAACACCCAGCTCTGGAATGAGTCACTAACCAGACGATGGTCCCAGACAAACATCATTAAATCTAGGTTCCTGCACTGGGGCTCAAACCACTGACCCCTCAAAACACCACCATTCCACTTTAGGGAAATCTGTCTTTATAATACACCTGCACATGAACAAATTATGTGCATTTGAAGGTATTTACTAAAGGACTATTTGTGATAGCAAAGACTGGAAACAACCCAGTGTTCATCAGTGGGGGGGAGTTAAAGTTCGGCTCCCTACGCTAGGGAGGGTGGAGCACTGTGAAGGACAATGACATGGACACAACTGGAGGTGGATGGGACAGTCTAGGACTTGCTAGCTTTTACATGAAAAGTGGGAGATAAAATATACTTATTCTCATGTGCTTGTATCTGCATTAAGAAACACTTTAAGAACACACAAGAAACTAGTCAAGGTTGGGACTGCTCAGGTTTGGGAGGCAGAAGGGGAAGGAGGAATTAGAAGCAAGACTTTTCAATGTGTACTTTTTAAGCACTTAAAAAAATTTGAATTATGTGAATGCAATTGATTAAAAAATTAAAATAAAAATGAAAAAACAAAACAAAACAAAACCCAGCAAGAACATAAACACGGGATGGAGAAGCTGGGGCTTAGCAGGAGTACAAGCAAATGATAAAGCCAGAAAAACTTCCAGGTAAACACAGAGGAGAATACGTTCTAAAATTGCTAAAATAACAGTTCAGAAGTTTTTCTTTTGAAAGTATGAACCCACAGGAGCAACAAGAACAATAAAGACAAAGCAGAAGGGAGAAAAAGAGGCCAGTGCAATTTTAGAAGCTATAAAACTGACTTGGCAGAACGGGTAGACACCCAAGGTACGGAGTGAGGAGAGCGGGGCAGGGGCGCAGGAACCGCGCTCCCGTGCAAAGACCGAGGCTCTGAAAGACCCGGCTGCCACTCCCGGAGCAGGGCCGCATACAGGTGCCCTAGTTGAAAACTGGAGCAGTCGGCCCTGCAGATCCTGGGAGGCACCCCGTCCCACCCAGGAGACAACTGGAAGTTTCCTTTCTGGAGGGCTGGGCGCCAAGGACAGAGGTACCGGAACGAGAAGGATTGAGTGGGAGTCCGAGCCCCAGACACCGCGTGACACTTTGTACTGTCTGCTCCCCAGATGGTGAGCTCCTTGAAGCTCTCCCTCGTCTCTTTACCTCTGGCACCTAACACACAGCAGGCACCCAATACATGCTTGCTGAATAAATGACAATGAGAGAAAAACGGTTAAAAGAACTGGAGGTGTTTAACTCAGACAGAAGACATAGGAGAACACAGTGGCTATCTTCAAATGTTTCAGACTGCATCAAGGAGAGAAATGAAGATTGATTTTCTATGGCCCTGAAGAAAAGAACCAATACTAACAAGTGGAAGCTCCAGAGAAAGAAACTTCATCTCAGTATAAGTAAGAATGTTCTGTCTACAGCAGGTGAGAGGGAACGAGCTGAACTGGGAGTCAAAGTCTGAGTCCTGCTTCCTCCACTTCTCCACTCTGGAGCCCAGGTGACCAGACTTGACTTCAAACATCTGCAAGACAATGTGTCTGTAGCTCTTTCTTTATCTACCTCTCAGGTCCATCTAGGCAGATAATGGATGTTAGATACTTTGTAAATTTTTAAAGTACTTACAACCCAAATGTTCCTACAAGTCATTCATAACCTGTATCATAAGAATCATTCAAACGTGAACAGGCAACCTCAAAATGAGTCAAATGGGACTGAGGAAATGCCAATGCTTAAAGAGCTGCTGGGGCAGTTTGATAACTTTAGTTCCCTGCCAATCCTGAGCCTGACTTCAGGTACCCTGCGGTCTGGAGACAGCAGCTGTCCCAGGCTCCCTAGGACTGGGAGGGTCACGCAATCCGATCCTACTCTGAGGGAGGAGCATGCGCCATCCATGAGAAGATGCAATTCTCAGCATCGGGAGCCAAGGAAACTTGGTGTGTGCTGACTCAATGTGCTCTGGGTGGGCCAAACGCACTGCTGCTTATACAGCTCCCCACCTGCCTGCAAGCCCAGCTCAGCAGCGTGAGAGCTGCGAGGGGTGGATGAGAAACGCGGCCATTAGGGGCACAACCACCACGAGCAACGCATCTACTCCAGAGCCCTCCCACACTCAAACAGCAGGCGCTGGCTTCCTGCACCCCTCACCCTGCGCCACCCTCCCCGGCCCACCCACCAGAGTGGCTCACTGGAGGGTGGGATGTAGGTTCTTCTCTCCTGGGCGTCTGAGCACCAGCCAGGCTGGATTCGCCCTCAGCCTTCTACACTCGGCTGCACGGAGCCCTGAGCAGCTCAGGGCCAACGGAGGGGCCCAGGGAAGCAGGAAAGGTGAGGGCACTACCGCCCACCAGGATTCTGAGGAAAACTCGTACAGGCTTAAAATATGTGGGACAAGGAAAAACCACACATAGATCTAGATGTGTGTGGGGGGAAAATCTGGAAGGAAATCCACCAAAGTATCGCAATACGGGTAATGGGGAGTGGGGAGGGCTTTCCTTTTTAACTACGTTTAAGGTTTCCTATGATATTCTTATAATAGGAAAGGTTTCCTATAATAAACATATCTTACTTGAATATCTCTACAGTCAGAAAAGACTTTTAAAAAGTAAGCCAGTTGGGAGCAGAGCGACATGGCTAGCAGTCCTTCAGGAAGTCACTTCCCTGCCCCTGCCCTGCTGGGGGAGTGCGCTGCAGTCATGCCTTGGGAGGAGCAGCCACCCCCCATGCAGTGCTGACACAGAGGGCTCTGGGGGGGGGGGTTGGGAGAGGCTGCAGGGAGACCCAGATCTTTCCTCTTCCTTTCAGGGCACGTGCCCATCACCCTGGAGACTACAGATGAACCACGCGCTGTTAACAAGGGTTCCTTCCCATAGGTAAGGGGTGGAGGGAGGGGCTGGAGGTGGGAACCAGAGGCACTAGGCCAGGACAGGAGTGGAGGCAGCTGTGGGGTGCAGGCTGGTCACTGCAGCATCTGTGGGGGAGCCGGGGTGGGGTGTCCTCAGAGAAGAGAGGTGGGAGCACAGGGTGGCAGGCTCCAGTGGGGAGATTATAGCCCATTTCAGAAACGCCAACGATGTGCTCTTTGTCTAGGGGTTAGCAGGCAATTCTGAATACTTTTTTTAAAAAAACAAACCTTATCCCTCCAAAAAGATATGAGGCTGTTTTGAAACCAGAAAAGGTTAGAGAAGGGGAGGGAAGCAGACAGATTTTATGCTCTGGTGACAAATGAGATTGCTATTTGTTGAGACCTTCTCCCAAAGCAGAGTGAGATGTGTCTGGCTGGAGGAAAGGACATTTTTATTATTAAATGAAAAAGCAGAGGAGGAGAGCGCAGGGCTAAGGCGAGGAACACGGGATAATGGGGAGCGGCCTGGGGCTGGAAACAAGGTAGTGCGTGGGGACAGAGAAGTGAAAATGCTTCCAAGAAACAGATGGCATGATGCAAACATGGTGCTAGCACTTGCGCTTATCTCCTGGGCCCCTGGGGGTCAACAGAGCAGAAGACTGACATTCACAACCTTGGAAATCTAACAGTTTGCTTCTTGTGGGGGGGGTTGGGTACAAAATTCACCCTCCTTCCCATTCTAAAAAGACACACTTTCCATCTCCATATCTTTGGATAACTAATTCTTTAACCCTGGGCTTGCACACTGTGTCCCTGAGGTAAGGAGTTGGAAAACACCCACTGGACTGGCAGCGGAGGTGTGGGGTGGGGAGGCCGCGCCGGGCTGTGGGGGCTGCTGGGGGCGGGGTCAGCGGGGACTGTCCCAGCCCTGCTACTGCACCAGCGGCACCACCTGCCTCCCTGCGCCTCAGTGACCTCGTCCATCAAGTAAGGAGAACAGTAATATCTTCCTTACAGCGCTGCTGGGAGGATTAAATGAGAATCCACGCAAAGTGCTTAGAACAGTGTCAGCCACAAAGTAGGGCCCCAAAAGTGTTAGCTGTTGTCATCCCAAGACCTATGCGCAAATATCCACAAACAGTAGCGGCTGGTAAGTACCAACTTCGCAACACACAGAGGGCAGGGTGAGCAGGGTGCTGGGAGGCCTGGGGAGGCTTCCAGAAGGGGACACCACAAACCTGTCATGAGAGTACCAGTAAGGCTTAGACAGGTGGAAACAGTGATGGGGTGGACATGCAAGACAAAGCAGCCGCCAGGTGGGGGCCCCAGGTGCAGTCTGGCGATGTGGGACCTAATCACATTGTAAAGGGGGGACCACAGGCTGCGCAGCATCTGTGGGGGGTAGTGGGGAAGGGGGTGAACGGTGCAGCACTCTGCAAACCTAAGGCATCAGAACGTTTCTTGGTAGCTTCATAGCACCTCGTGCACTGTCATGTTTGAAATAAGTATTCAACTGACAATCCCATTTTCAAAGAGACCTGCAATGGAACCTCTCTCAAACCTAATCTGCTAGGTGAGAAAAACCTCCATCCATCAGATAAATACTGGGGGCAGGGGGAGTCGATTTGAAAAGTGTTCACACAGCCCCTGAGTACTCCAGGAGAGCTGACAGGCATGACCCTCCGCAGCTCCAGGCTGGGGAGATGGGAGGTGGGGAGACAGATTCCCCACCCAGCACACCAGTCAGGGTCTGATCATTAGGCCAGGGTCACACCCAATCCTCAGGACTGCTGCAACCTAGACTCAGACCCCCATCCCGACCCCGACTCCACCCAGCAACAGCTGTGCAGGCAGCGCAGCGAGTCTCTCTCCCTTTTTCCTTCTCCTCCCCAGGCCCCTGCCAGAGCCCTGCACTGTGGGCCCGGCGGACGCCCCTCCCTCTGAGCACACACCCCCGGACGCCAGCGCCCGACTTACTTCTTCAGCCACTCCACAATGTCCTCAGCTGTGGACCCATAGTTGTCATACTGGAACAGGAACCGGCCTTTCCTGTGAAACGTGGAGAAGCAACGTGGGCTCAGCCGGGGATACAAATGCCACCAGGGAGGGAAGCAGCTTTAGAAGGCAGGCGGGGGCTTACTCAAAGTAGCAGATGGTGGGGTAGCCGCGCACGTTGTACTCCTCCCTGATGTTTTCAAATTCAGAGGGATAGACGTTCATCCCGGCCAGCACCTGGGAGGAAGAGGCGAACAGACACCCTCATCTTACCCATGTGCTCTCTGTCCAGCTGTCCCACCAGAAAGACATGTGGGACAAAGCCTGGCAGACGGAGGCGCACCAGGCCACAGGGCAGCAAGGCCAGCAGAGCCAGCCAGGAGTCGTGACCAAGAGCGCTGGGGGAGTCTGGCGGCTGGCTACGTGCTGTGCTCCGCACACCCACCCGCGTCTGCCCGCCTGCAGTGAGAACCATCCGGAGCAGAACCACGGTTCTGAGGGTTGAGGAAGAAACCTGGCCTTGCTGCCAAGTTCACACAGGTCTTAGAGAGGGATCACTGCCACCCAAAAACATATTAATATATTGTGCCTTTTTCTCTGCTCATGTCAACCGCGGGTATACTTTTCTTCTAAGACAAGGAAATAAGCGCTTTTGTACACCACTTGGGCTCTGCACATGTCCTCGGACACTTCCCTGGGTGCCACACAGCCTGCCTGCAGTCTGTCTGCCCAGGCTTGATGTGTGACGTTCTCAGACCTTACAGCTCCTATGTGGCCACGGAGACCGTGGTCTCCTTGAGAACATGAGAAAGAGGCACCATGACGCCTGCCAAACTCTCCTCCCTCCAGCCCCAGCTCTGCCTCCCCAGCTCTTCCCCTGTCTGTGACCATCACCTACAGCGTGGTCTGACCATCACCTCAGAATTCTAAGCGGGTTCTAGTTCCAGGGGTCCACATATCCACAAGCCGAGTCAGAAAGGAGAATATCGGTGGCTGTGTCACTGAAGACGTGGCTAAATACTAAGAACAGCCCAAACAAAGATTCCCCTAACATTCCCCGCGTCCTGAAGCAGGGACCTCCCTCTCCAGGGCTAGAACAGGAGCCAGGAAAGAGGACTTTGAATCTGCTCTTACAAGAGAACACAGCTAGATGGGCCAGCATGGGCTGTTCCACAAAGCAGGGTGGCACAGAAGTGAGAGGAAAGGAAGTTCAAAACAGCCAGCAGCAATTACAGAAGCAGAGAGAAGAAGCCCAGCTGAGTTTTACTGAATAATACGTAAGGACACACCGTAAGAGAAAAATGAAAATAGTGGTTTCAGCGACAATAAATGTGATTCAGAACACTGCTTCTACCTGAGTCATGTGACCCTGGGCAAGTCACTCCCCTTCACTGAGGTTCCTGGGGGGGAAGACGCGGTGATGGGATTATCACCGAGCTCTGAGGAGGACTGAATGAGGTGACCCATGTCACAGGTGTCAGCACAAGACTCAGTAACTGTCATGTTCCTCACCAGATCTTCCTGGTGATGACAGCTGCCAGTGCCTCTGGCTTCTCCATCCGTGGAGCATCTGAATATGTCTTTACAAGTTTTTTTTTGTTTCTTTTTTTTTTTTTTTTTAAGATAGAGTCTCTCTCTCTCTCTCTCTGTCACCCAGGCTAGAGTGCAGTGGCATCACCATAGCTCACTGTAACCTCAAACTCCTGGGCTTAAGCAATCCTCCTGAGTCAGCCTCCTGAGTAGCTCACTATACGCACATGCTACCATGCCCAATTACTTTTTCTATTTTTAGTAGATGTGGTCTTGCTCTTGCTCAGGCTGGTCTCAAACTCCTGCCCTCAAGCAATCCTCCAGCCTCAGCCTCCCAGATGCTAGGATTACAGGTATGAGCCACCACACCTGGCCTTTCCAACTATTTTAAGTACCTAGTACAATCCTGACATACAGCAGGCACAAAATAAATGTTTACTAAGTCATCAATTTTTTTTCAGTCCATTTGAGAATGTTGCAAAAAATACAGGGAGAATAAACCTGAAATAGAACTTACTAGAAGCCCTGGAACCCTCTCAAAGCCATTCTGCTCATTTCTCAGACTGATTCAGCTGCCTGTTCCAGTAATATTTGTCTGCTTTAAAGTTCCTTTTTCTGTCTAATTGATCTCCCCCATGTCAGTGCTCATTCACCACAAGATTAATCTTACACATCCTCCTCTTTCATTACATCACTTCCCTACACAAAACCTTTCAATTCCATTGAATGCAGGCTAAAATCCAACTCCATACTCAAAGCCCATATGGTCCCTATCTCATTTTTTAATCCTTCTTTCTTACAAAACTCTTAATTGTACACCTGCTAGGGTCTAGATGTTTTATTCTCCCAGAAATGAGACAGTCTGAGATTTCTGCACAGGAAGGAAGTGGCACTGTCTGCCTTCTCAGCACCTCGCCGAGTGCAGCAGTGACAGTGCACAGTGGCTAGAAGCACTGGGTTTGCGTCCTGGCTCCCACTTGGTAGATGCGCTTCCTTGAATAAGTCACAGTTGCTTCTCTGTATCTCAGTTTCCTCATCTGCAGCTACCTCATGTAGCTGCTGTGAAGATTAAATGAGATAATACAAGTATCTACAGCACTCAGAATTATTAGCTATTTTTATTACTACTTCTAAGAGGCTCTCTAATTCTGCCCACATTTCCAGAACACTCACTGTTCTTTCTTGGCTCCCACTTTGCGCCTTCCTGTCCTCTCACTGAGGATGTCCACTCCCCACCTCTTGGCTGGCACCAGAGACTCATCCATCCTTTAAGGCCAATCAAATCTCACCTTCCCGGGCTGCCTTTCCAAACCGCCTTTGCTTGGGGGGTGACCTCTCAGTTCTTTGAGTTTGTGTAGCACTTTTGTGCCGCTTTGGAGGTATCTATCAGTTAATGAGACACATAGTTTTCGAACAACTTTGTATGAATACTTTTGGGAGTTAGAGTTTATGAAGTCAAATGAGGTGAAACACCTGGTCTCAATGTACAGAAAAGGCAAGACCACAACTCCTCCCTGAACATGTGTGCAGCCCTGCTGTAGAAAGTTTCACGGGGTGGGCGCCATGTGAGCTAATGCTCAAAGGAGGCTAAGACTTCAGCAGACATCCCAGGAGGGGAAATGGAGGCAAGGCAAAGCCAGATGTGGCCCAAGAAATGGACTGGGGTACACAGAAAGAGGAAGAAGTAAGAGAACAGGCTGAGCCAGGTAGCTTGGCGTACCCTGGAAAAGGCTTTAAACATCTAAGAAATCGGGACTTCATTCAGTAGGTGGAGGGAGCTCTTGAGAAAGTAACTACCACTCAGCTGCATGTTTTGAAATAGAAAGGAGGACCTCTAAGGGGAATGTTGTGGGTCAGCAGCCTTTGGCAACCACCCAGTGTGGCTCCCCAGGTGCTGGCAGAGAGAGGAGGGAGAGGACGGAGGGGATGTGAGGAAGAGACCCATGACAATGCCCCAGCAAAGGGGCGAGGGTGGAGAACCCAGGTACTAGGGAAGGCCTTGAAGGAAAGCTGGCTGTCTGCCAGAGGGAAAGACACTGACTTTTATCTTAGACATCCTGCATTTGGGACACAGGGAAAAATCCAGACTGAGATGTGAAACAAGCCACCTGTCACATGGTAGTGGCACTTTGGGGGAAGACTTGGGTTCCACAGAGGGACAGACCATAATGAGACATCCCCTTGCTCTAACGTGTTAGTAAAAAAGAAAGCAGCACCTTGGGAGCACCCCCATTTAGGGAGCAGGAGGAACACAGGTAAGGGGCAGCTACAGGGGTCACTCATCTGTATCCATGAGGTGCTCTGCAGGCCATTTGCTTCTCATGATGACCCAGCGAGGTGGGCGGGGTGGGCACCATCTCTCTATCTTACAGACAGAAGCGTGGGCTCCACTCCTGGGGAGCTTACCCAAGGTCTCCAAGCCAGTTAGCGACAGGCAGCACCAGAGCCTGGTCTGTACAAATCCGTCACACTGATGGTTCCATTTCATGGTGTTTACACCCAGACTGGCCCATCATGGCCAAGGTCAACAAAGGATGGGGCAAAGCTCAAAGGCTGGGAAGAGGAGGCAGACGGGGACGGGGCTTGTTCTGATGGCAGCTCTGGGACAGGGAGCAGCATGGCTGCTGCTGAGGATGTCAATTAGCAGAAGTAGATGGGACAGACCCTGATGATTCACCAGAAGCCAATGACAGCGAAACAGGGACAGAACTGAATCTGGCAAACAGAAAAGGCTGTGCATCCTGACCTGGCCTGGCTTCCTTCTCAATGACATCACTGGGTTGGACACTTCCCAAGGAATTTGTAGAGAGGGAATATTTCTGACCATTGCCACAAACGGAGCCAGCCAAAAAGGGCTCAAAAATGATGGTGATAAAGTGGAGACAGGAGGCCCTAATCCAGCTGGATTTCAGCAGTGGGGAGGGGTGAGTTCTGATTTCCAGGGAGTAGCAGCCCATCTGTTAGTCCTGTCTCTTCTCTGTGCATGAAGATAGAAAGCAATCAACACCTCTAGCTGCCCAACCCCTCCAGCCCTGTCCCCAGGGTCTGGGGAGCTGCTGGCCTGGCCCCCAGAGGCCTCTTACAGTGGGTGGTGCCCGTGTTGGCCAGCATCCTTCCCCCTTTATGTGGCTGGGAAAGGGTTAGAACTTCTCAAAAGGTACTTTTCTGAGAAACTAAGGAGAAAGCAGAATTTTAAAAACCCTAATCAAGAAAATACACAACACTCTTCGAGGCCAAGGCAGGTGGATCACTCAAGGTCAGGAGTTCAAAACCAGCCTGAGCAAGAGTGAGACCCTGTCTCTACTAAAAATAGAAAGAAATAAATTGGCCAACTGAAATATATAGAAAAAATTAGCTGGGCATGGTGGCGCATGCCTGTAGTCCCAGCCATTTGGGAAGCTGAGGCAGGAGGATCACTTGAGCCCAGGAGTTTGAGGTTGTGTGAAATAGGCTGACGCCACGGCACTCTAGCCCAGGCAACAGAGTGAGACTCTGTCTCAAAAAAAAAAAAAAAAAGAAATAGAAAAAGAAAAAAAATACGCAAGCAAGGAAACATGAATCCACATAACCTAGATGCCTTAGACCAAGGTAATTAACACCTGGCCACAGCTGGACTCACCCAGATTCATATACAACCCCCTGACTTTTCTGTAATGTTGTCAAAGGAACAGTAAGGGATACCTTTTATATTTCTAGACCTGGGCCCAGGCAGGAGAAGCAGGTATTCTTAACACAAGTGATCTTTAGGATTAACCTTGTAAAAGAGTCTGGTATGAGCCCAGGGCCAAGGGGGAAGGTTCCCAGCCCACAAATGTCCTTCCCACTGTGTCTCTGTCCTTAATAACTAACACTCTGAATTCCTTTAAGGGGGGGGGGGCAATATCACTTAATAGAAATACAGAGCTTAAAATAAAGCATACCCAGGAGTCATGAGCCACACACTTACACATTCATTCACCAGCATGTACTAGGTACCTGTGATTAGCTGGCCCTGTGCTACGTGCTGAAGGAATAGACATGAATCGAACACAGCTCCTGCACCCAAGAAGCTCACATATTATAATTAGTATCAGAGTGATCTGGAACAAAAGCAAAGGACAGACCTGGCTTTGCATGGCAGCGACAAACTCTGTGGCAGCATGGGAGGGGCCTGGAGGAGTAGCGAGTTTGGCTACGAACGCGGCATAGGCTGAGAACAGTCCATGATAACACATGCAACTGGCATCAAGTCCTCTTCTGCTTCACTGGGCCCAGCCAGGATAATTCGTGAGCTGACTGGGGGCTTGAGCTATTTACCTTCCACAGCACCACAGAGACTGGCAGTTGAGCTGAGCAGTTTTCTAAGTGTATGCGGGTGCAGGCAGGGAGAATACTGCAGGTAATTAAGTCTTTTCTCCAGGCTAAATAATCTTAAAATATGGTACCTACTGAGGGCCCAAAAATGTGAAGTGAAATTTCCCTGGAGTGATGTATGTGTGCCCCAAGGCCAAAAATCTCCAGGCAAGTTACTAAAAATTCATTAGTCAGAAACAAGCAGAACGTTGGTGTCCCCCAGAATGAGGTCAAAAGAGAAAGACTTGGTTCTTTGCAACCCAATCTTGCAGCTGGCTAGCAGGGCTGTCTCCATGCCCAGGTGCTCCCATTTAAACTTTTTAAGTTGACTTTGAGCTAATCGCCACTTAATTTGATCCATAAATATCAGGATGCAGTTTTAAGACCTCAGATTTCCCTTTATGGGACTCTGGCCAGCCCCACTGAGATGGCCCCTCCCAATAACCTTTCATGAAAGGTATATGGATTTTTCCATGCTTCCTAGAGGAGCCAGCAGCTCTTTCCTGTTGCCACCAAAACAAAACACTTCTGCTACTCAGGATGAGTGCAAAAATGGACAAACCTAGATCCAAAAGAATTCAAAACAAATCTCAAAGAGATACCTGCACACCCATATCTATTGCACATTACTCACAATGGCCAAGAGCTGGAAGCAACCCAAACTCCCATCAACAGATGAATGGATAAAGAAAATGTGGCATATATTAATACATACAGGGAATATTATTCAGGCTTTCAAAAGATGGAAATCCTGTGACATGCTACAACACAGATGAACCTTGATGACATGATGCTAAGCAAAATAAGCCAGTCACAAAAGGTCAAATATTGCATGATTCCACTCATAAGAAGGATCCAAAATAGTAAGAATCATAGATACAGAAAGTAGAAAGGTATTCACCATGGGCAGGGGTGAAGAAGGGAGGGAGAATTAGCGTTTAGTGGATATAGAATTTCAGTTTTGCAAGAAGAAAAAGTTCTAGAGATTGGTTGCACAACAATGTAAATATTGTAATATGTTGTACACTTAAAAATGGTTGAGATGGTCAATGGAATGGTATGTGGTTTTTAGCACAATAAAAAAAATATGGACAGACACACAGTACAGAAGAAGCATGGCAGAGTGAAGGAACACGAAGTGACCAGGGAGTATTCAGTGGCTGATCTTCAGCCCCTCTAGGTGACATCTGACACCTCCATTCTCTCCTCTCACTCCTGGATGTCCCAGGCTACCTCTCACCTCTCTGTCCCATTGCTCCTACTTCTCTGTATGCCAGTGTCCTTAGTGGTTCCTCCTTCTCCTCCTGTCCCCTAAAGTTGGCCCTCCCTAGGCTACACTTGGCTCTGCTCTGTCCACCTCCACTCCCTTGCACTCCCTCCTTGGAGAACGCCTGCATTCTCGGCCCTCCCGCTCCCCATCTGGACTTGCCTTTTTCTTCCCAGCCCACAGGAACCACGAGCCTGGGAAGCTCAGACAGGACACAGCTTTGTGAGCCTGCTGTGTGATTCTAGTCCAACTCTGGTGTCACCGTACCCTCTTCTTTGCCACTAGGCTCCCCAGCAACTGTGTCAGCCCACTTTGGAGCCCAGCTCCAATAATCCCAGACCCCTGACGTTCTGTCCTTGGTTCCTGGCCTCCCAGCAATGCCACGTGTATGTCTTTGCTGGTTTCCTGACTATTTTACACTGGCCTTTGAAAGGTACCAAACCCTCCTGGTCCCAGCAACTTGGGGGCGTTCTCAACCTTCAGAGAGCCCCATGTGAGGTTTCATTGCAGCAGTGGCAGGGGCAGCAGGGTCAATCGCCCTTACCATTTCAAAACCTGCTCTCCTCACCCTGCTCCCAGCACTCTTCCCCCCCCACGTCCGAGAGTGACCCAGCCCTGCCTGGCACGTGGTGCCTCACTTACGGAGTGGCCTCGTGTCTGGGTGGCAGCCTTCTGGAAATGTGGCATCATCCTCTTGCACATGCTGCACCCTGGTCACAGGCAGGAGAAAAACCACATCTGGTTACAAGGATGGCTGGGCCCCGACACTCTGCTCTGCCTCCTCTCAGCTGTCCTCTACCCAACAAACATTTACCCAGCTGAGAGAAGCTGCGGACTGTCCCAGACCCTGGGAACCCAAAAAGAATAGAAGGCAGAGGCCCCAGCCCCTGAAAAATTTGCAGTCTCGATGGGACAAAAAAATAAAAATCTGAGAGAGCACAGCAGCCACGCCATGAATGTTAGAGAACAGAGCTCAGAATGATTCAGTGCCCATAATGAGTTCACAGGAATTCAGGGAGCCAGACGGTGTCAGGACAGCAAGCCCCTACATGCACAGCAGGGGTTGCAAATGAGCTAGGGTCAAATGCCATCAGGAAGGAAAATTTGTGACCACAAATACCATGATTTTTGGGATTTCTGTGCTTCCTTTCTCTTTCATTAACGAGGATAACTAAGCAACGACTGGAGACAGGCCCAGCACAGGGGTAGCACTGGGCCAGGACTCAGAACACAGGCTCTGGTCTTCATTCAACTCGATGATGGCCCTGGACAAGTCACCTCCTCTCTCTGGGCTGTTTCTTCTCCCAGTAAAAGGGAGTTGGACTAGACAACCTCAGGTCCCTTCCAGTTCTGACAGCAGAGGATTCTGTGACAGCTTTGGCTGAGTCTCTCTGGGGTTCTGTGGTCTACCATGGTCACAGTCATCTGTGTGTGGGGGGTGGAGATCCCCAGCCCTGGGGGACTAGGGATCAGGATGGCCATGCCCCAAACATCCACTACTACTTCAGAGTGACCTTAATTTAAACCCCTTCCCTTAAATCAGAGCAGGCCACATTTCAGCACTGACCCCCCAGGACAGGAAAAGCAGTTTCCTCAGACACCAGGAATTGTGACATGCCAGGCTGTCACCCTTTCTGACAGCCGCACTGCTGCAAAACAGACTTTGAGACGCAACTCAAGGCCACAAAAACCAAAGCTGCCTGGAACCATGTGTCAGGCACAGCGGGGACAGGGGCCACGCGGTGACAGGCTGAGCAGCTCTAATCCATGTTTCGCCAACGCCTTGGCAAGCTGTGGGCAGAGTGACACAGATCAGAGGGCACTCTGGCCCACTGGGGCCGACACATGGGAGAGCTGGGAAGAGGCCAGCTTTCCCCCAGCCACACAAACCTCCCCAGCTCCAAGCCCACTGGATAAGGTGCGGATATAGGGCATTTGATAGGAAACTCCAAAAATGCCCTGTGGCCCCCCCCCCGACATTCCTGCCTGACAGGCCAATGGACACAGATTACACACACAGACACACACACACATGCCCCAGCATGTTACACCTGGGCTTAGGTTCCCACTGTTAGTCTGGGCAGGAGACAAGGAGGCAAGGTCAGCCCACAGCAGGAGCCTGCAGTATCCGCCCCCAGAAGAGATGCCTCTCTTTGGGACCTGCCACTGCAGCGTGAGCACCACAGGTAGCAAGAAGGTAAGAATATGATACTTATCAGGGGGCATTACTACACTTCGAGGATTCACAGCAGGGGAACGGAAACAGGGACAATGCTCCAGCAGCGGGAAGACACCAGGGGGATACCACATGGTAGGGAAAGTGGGAGGCTACTCAGTGATGGTGACACAGAGGAAGGAGCTTGGCTCCAGGAAGACAAGACCCCATCTGCATCTCCCCTTGACCCTTGCTGGCTCTGTGACCCTGGGCAAGTGACTCAGGCTCTCTGAGCCTCAGCTTCCCTGTCTGTGGAGATGGCACCTGCCCCACAGAGGAAGCCAACACCAGGAGGGTGGGCCAGAGCTGGCACTCAGCGGGGGACAGCCAGTGCTGGTCTGTGGTGGGGGAAACACTTCCACACAGGAAAGAGGCTGTCATTCCACTCCCCAGGAGGGAAAATGAGGGGGACACCTGCAGCCTCTCACTCACTCCTGGCTCAGGGACTTGAGTTTGACACCTGCTGGCCGACATTCATCGATCAGGAACATAATTTACTGCCTGTCTCCACAGTGTGGCCTCTCCCAGGCTGCCTGTCTGCAGCCTGCAGCTACATAATCCCTCCCCTTCCCCCAAACAGGTGATAAGTCGGCCAGCCGTGCTGGTGAGGTTACTGGGGGGAAGAGGTGGTGGAGGACTAATAGGAAGCTACAGGCCAAGCCGGTTTCCAATTTAACTTTACCAAAAATAGAGCTGGTCCTGTGATTCCTATCTGAGCTTATCTTTCAATGGGATTCCACTGGGAAGCAGGGGAAGAGGTAAGTCTAATCATCACTCTCAAACACAGAAAGCCAGAGCAGTCAGCCCTTTTATTTTCTCATTAATTCAGTGAACAAACATTTACAGAGCAAGCAGTAGGGCCTGGGGAGCCAGATTCCTTGTCACAACCAAAGGTTCCCACTGCCTGGGGGTCCATTTGCCCAACATGTGACCAAAGGATCACAGAATCCTAACAGACTTCCCAGTCAGGGAGCTGCTGTGTATCCCAGGAACAGGCTGAATTATGATGCCGTGAAGGCTTGATTAGGCTAATTTCATAAATGCATGAGTCTGATTCATTTGAGACACACACATAACAAAAAAGGATCCTGGGGTTACAAGGGACGTAGCAGGCCATCCAATCGGACCCTCTGCCAAAAGTTTAACTTAACTTCTGAGTTTTCTCCTCCCTCCACCACTGCTAATGTGCTCTGTGACACCTGCGAGGTCCTGACCTCCCCTGCCCCAGCTTCATATTATGTAAATCTAATCACCACGCTCACGTGTCTGCGCGGTGAGCAGGATGGGCGTGCTGCCAGCCAGCCTGGCGTGTGGCGGGCAGAGAGGGCACAAGCACTCAGGTGCAAACCGCCAGAGATCCACTCTCTTCAATGATCAATGTCATCCCACCGAGACCTGCATGGCTATGCCCTGATCCTGCTTCGTGACACAGACCGCATACTGACACACGCTCCGTCTTATAGCTTCACTTAACCGCCGTGTCTCGTCCCAAAGGGTTCTGAGGTGAACCAAAGGAGGCCCCAGTCCTCAAGGGGCTGTGTGGGCAGGATATATCCTGAAGCAATTCACTGCTGGGCAGCTAATAAGGTCCCTCCAAGAAGAAACAAAAAGCAGTGAAACCAACTAATGAGCATTAATAAAGAGAATGAGCCAGGATTAAAATGCATTCTGGGTAGAGCCAGATCCATAGCAAATGGGACATGAGGGCCTTGTCCCATAGGCAGGCACACCCCCTGGGGCCGGCAAGGGCCCGGGGAGGAGGCTGGGGCTGGAGGACACCCAGCGATCAGAACAGGGCTGGGACAGGCGTTGTCGTGGTGCATAAGCTACAGGCTCAAGTCAGGCAGAAGCACCGGAGCATCCCAGCATCCAGCCAGGAGCCATCAGCCCTGCATCCCAGGGTGCAGAGGGGAGGAGCCTTTGCTTAAAGAACTTCTTAGGAAGGGGATTCGAGGCCCTGGTGCCACATCCTGTGACACCCACCTGAGCCATGAACAGCCTGGGCACACTGCCTTGTACCACATACAGCCCTCTCTCTGGCTTCAGGCAGACAGCGCCTTCTGAAGGCACGTGCAGTTCATTGAGGCAGAGCGCCAAAGGCCTTGCCAGCTCGAATCCAGGGTCTTTCCATCTGTCACTTGGGACCCATTAGACGCAGGGGTGGCCCAGACAGTGAATATTGGAAGCTTCATGGGCCATACTGTCTCTGTCACAACTACTCAATTCTGCTGGCATAACCCAAAACCAGCCACAGACGGTGCATAAATACATGGGCATGGCTGTGTTCCAATAAACCTTTATTTACAAAAAAAAAAAAAAAAAAAATAGCCAGCCTGTGGGCTGTAGTTTACTGGCCCTTTATTAGAGGGTTATGAAGCTATAAAAAGAACCAATAATTTTTTTTTGAGATAGAGTCTCACTCTATTGCCCGGGCTAGAGTCCTGTGGCATCAGCCTAGCTCACAGCAACCTCTCATACTTCTGGGTTCAAGCAATCTTTCCACCTCACCTCCTTAGTAGCTAGGACTACAGGCATGCACCACCATGCCCGGCTAATTTTTTCTATATATTTTTAGTTGGCCAATTAATTTCTTTCTACTTTTAGTAGAGACGGGGGTCTCACTCTTGCTCAGGCTGGTTTCGAACTCCTGACCTTGAGTGATCCTCCCACCTTGGCCTCCCAGAGTGCTAGGATTACAGGCGTGAGCCACCATGCCCGGCCTTATAACCAATAATTTTTAAATAAAACAGAATAGAAAACAGTGTATGCTATATCTAGTAAACAGTAGATAGCAAGTAGTAAGGGTATGGTTTAGTGAAACTTTTGTTCCACCTTATTTACATATCATTTATATATACTTTTAGTACTGGGTTGTAATACAAAATATTTTTGATTCTACTAAACACTGTCAAAAAGTTTGAAAGCCAGTGCTCCAATCAGCCCCTTCTCTTACAGATGTGGAAACCCAAAGAACTGACGGGCGTGGCCAGGCTCACCTGGCTCGATGGTAGCACAGGGGACTAGAGCCCAGGTCTTCTGGCTGTCACCTCAATGATCCTTCTGCCTTTCCCCACAGCCTCTTGCCTCACCCAGGGACTGGGCCCAAATACTGGGGCTCCGTTTCTCTCTGCTCCCCCACCCCTCCCTGGTGGCACCAGCAGAGGGATGTAGGAACCAGAGCTAGAAATGCTGCCGTCCCCAGGGGCAGGGCAGGCTCTGGACGGCGAGGAGTGACTGGGGGGGGTGCAAAGCAGCAGCACCCCAGAGGGGCCCCCCGGCACTGAGGGGTGGAGCCGCCAGGCAGGAAAGGGGGCAGAAGGACACTGATTCTGGTGGAGAAAGCAGATGGGGACAGCAGGAGGGGGGGCCCAGATGAAAAAGCAAAGACAAAGGAAAAGGGGCGCAGACAGACAGTATACGCGAAGTGATTCAGCGCTCAGTGTGAGACCTGGGGCTAGTTCCCTGTCACGAGCCCCAGCCACCCGCCACCCACAGGAGACTGGACAACTGAGTCTGGCCCACGGGGGAAAGTTCACTCACAGGGGGCATAAAACATCATCAGGACCGGCTTCTCTTCCTTCTTCAGGAGACGCCTGAAATCCTGAGGCACAAAAGGAGAGAACACCAGCAGGTCACACACAGCACAATCCCAGGACGCCACCTCCCCTGGCCTGGTACCCGTGGCTGGGGGAGGACCAGGGTGAGCACTTCAGAGAGCACACGTCTGTCTTGGGGAGGGGCAGTCACAGTGAGTCAGGTGCTGGAAGGATCTCAGGGGTGATCTCTTCTGGACCACCCTCTCGTGGTACAGATAGGAAAACTGAGGCCCCAGTAGGACAAATGGCTTTGCCAAGGCCACCAGTGAGAGGAAGAAGTCAGGACCAGGCTATCAGCTTTACTTTCAGCTCTACCTGAACAGTTAAAAGATGATGAAGAGCTATTTCTGTCCTGTGAGGCTGCCACACTGGTGGCCCCTTCTTCACGTGATATGTGGTTCTGTTGTGATGAGGGCGGTTGTTTTCATATATGCCTGACTTGGCCAGATGGGGATCTGCTTGCTGTGGGAAGGGGGTTTACCCATGCTCAATAATCTCTTGCTAATCTCTTCCCAGCTCTACCCCAGCACCATCATCCGTCCCCAGGAGCCCACGGATCAGACAGGGCAGAGGGACCACCCTGCCCCACTCTGTAGGAGGCTGCAAGCTAAAGGCATCATTCATATCTGCAAAACCCTTAGAACAGTGCCTGGCACATTACAAAACAACACATAATGGTTTGCTAAATAAATACAATAAAGGCAAAAAGACAAATGGTCACACAGTGCTACTGTAAAGACATAAGTGTAAGTGGGTAGCGAGCCAGTGATCGATGGGGAAAAGCAAATCTATCAAGGACTGCAGCAAAGCACCATGACAGAGCATACTTTGATTAAAATATGCTGCTCTAACCAGTTTTCCAAGAAGAAAATTAGAGGGTTTTCTCTTTTGAATAATAAGGAAAATAAGAAAATTTCAAAGCGCAGCTTTCTGGCAGCAAGAAGGCATTAGGTAAATAAATATTGGCACAAGCCGCACAATGGAATACAACTGCATCATTAAAAACGATGAGGAGGAATATTTAATGTCACAATAAGATGTGAATGTTATATTAAATGGGGTGGGGAGCAAGTTACAAAACAGCATATAAAACGTAACAACATCTTTGTGAGTAAAAATATTTATGTTTGCATTAGCTGGAAAGCCTGGAAGACTACAAACACATCAGTATTGGGTATTTCTCAGTGGAAAGGTATGTTTGCTTTTTGCTTTTATGCTTACCCTGTATTTTCTAAATTTTAAACAATGAATGTATATTACTTACAATTTTTCAGTTAGATAAAAAAGACCACAAATTTTTGTGGGTATCTAAAATATTTTAAAATAAATTCTGGAAAAGTTTACTCTTGTTTACATAACTGGAGGGCCAAGGTGCTCGTTTGAAAACAGAATTAGTAACCAACATATCTGACCCTAACTAGGGGTGGAGGATGCAAACACTTTTAAAATTATCTGTGGGATCCCTGAAGAGAAAGCCTGGTAACAGATCTGGGAAGAAAGGGTTTTACAGAGCCTATGGCAAATCGGTTTCATATCCTGAGCAGTAACAAGTATTTCATTCAAAGATGCTTAATTATCTTCACAAGTAAGGAATTCCAAGACTACAAATGGAATCAGTAACTCAAACTTGAACTTGGAGACTTTTAATAATTTCACGTGGAGATTAGATTAGCAGAAAAGCAGCCACAACTCACATGTCCACATGAGAGAAAAGAGCATGAAGTATAAGAGAGGACTACATGCAAGTGTGAAGAAAGTATTTCTGCTTAACATTCCTACAGGTGTGGAAGAACCACCTTAAGAAGTTCAAGACATGGCATTTGGGGCATGGAGGCACCCGGCCACTCTCCAGAGAAGCTACAAACATGTATTTAACATTATCACAGAAGCAGCGCTCAGTTTAGGCTGCTTGTGTCTCCACAGCTGTGGGTACATGTGCCACTCTCTCCTGGCACTTGCCCCTACATGCTTTTTTAAAAGGCTTTATCTTGGAGCTGATAATACTGGCACTTTCTATCCCGGAGAATGCTGACGCCTGGCCCTTAATTTGCATCACCACTGACCCACGTGGTTGGCCCACAACAATCACAGATGATCCTCCTCCAGAAAGTAAAAAAAGCATCATTTCCTTTTGGGCTAACAAGCATTAAGAGCAGAGTCAATAATTTTAAACGAAAAGGAGAGGAGGTGGAGGAAGATAAAAGCTATGTTTTATTTTACCAAGATAAGAATGAGCATTCTCCCTTCATCTACAAAAAAAGCACTGCTGGCCTCACGGATGATCTGGAATGTCACAGAGAAGTTGTTGCCCATCAGTGTGAAGGCACAACTGAGCGAACAAGGCAACACGCAAACACAGGTACGCATGCATACAGATGCACACATCAGGTGTGCGGGCCCACAAAGGAGGGGCATGGATGTGTCACAGCTTTTGTTAAATACTCAAGAACAAATGACGACTATAAACCAGACCCACCCTTCCACCCACCACCCTGGCCAAATCTGGAAATTGATGCTTAAAATGGTGAATTTGTTCAAAGTTACACAACGACTCAGAATTGTAGAGACCTGGCCCAGTTAGTTCTCTGGAAATCCAGCCCAAATCTCTCAGCTTATTCTTAAAAACAAACAACAACAAAAAATTTAAACAAGCAAAAAATGCAAGGCTGATGCCAGCAACATCTGCATTACATAATAGGGAGAGGATATTTAAATCTATGTTTGTGTAAGGAAAACCAAACATGTTAAAATAATTAAATAAGGAAAACGAAGACTGGAGGAAGTTCTCAGTCTGTGATTTTCCACTGGCAACATCATGGAGCTGGAAAGGGGAGTGAAGCGTTAGGGTCCTGGCTTGTTCTTCCCCTTTCTCAGGGCCCTGTGCTTCTCTCTGTGGGAGGCCATGGTACCAGGAAAGCTTCCAGGACCCATCAGAACTGATGGAGAGTCTACGGCTATACCACCCTGAATGCACCCGATCTCGTCTGATCTCAGAAGCTAAGCAGGGTCGGGCCTGGTTAGTACTTGGATGGGAGAACTGATGGGGAATAAGTTACCTTTTCACTGTCGATGTGGACAACATCTTTGGCTCCAGGATCTTCCTCCCACAGTGGGGGCCCTTTTGGATCCTTCAGAAAGGCCACTATGGACTGAGGAGAAAAAGAGAGAAGAGAAAATGCATTGTAGCTAGGGAAAGAGTTGGGGTTGGGGGGAATCAGGAACATGCCTGTTTCCCTGCCTAGAGACCCCAGTACACCAAGTGCCAGGCATAGGACTGCATGCGACATGAAGGTTTGGAGGTGTGCCATTTCCTCTGTCCACTGACATCACCACTAAGTGCCCAAAGAATAGACCTCCACCACACCCACGAGACTTTCTCAATCACAGGACACCTTGCTTACTCCCAGCAGCTGATCCGAACCTAATGTGTATCTTCATGGGCAAAAAAGGGGAAATCTGAGACATGAGTTGCCATATCCAAACCAGAGACACACTAGTGCTTCTACTACCTCTTATCGACTCTAAGAAGTCGTTCTGATTCATTGACTAAGGTCTCCAGTCTTGTCCAAAGGAGATACTTTCACATTCCTACAGCCACTAAAATTGTCAACCCCATAAACATATAATCACACCATTTATTACTTGCTTAGTATTTCACAATCTAGATTGGTTTTGGAGTGGGCTATTATAAATCCTGCTTATCCTTTGCTGTGTGCAAATCAGTGGGGCCCAGGCCAGGAAGGCCCAGGGCAGGGTGCTCATGGACTGGGCTGATGCCTTGTTGCTAAACTTCTCTTTCTGAGGGCCTCCATCTAGACTGCCCAGTGAAGATCTGACAATGACCTTAAAGACAAAGGGCTTCACTGGCCTTGGTGTATGGACAATGGGGAAGACATACAGGAGCAGGGAAGAGGGGGCGCTGTCCCTTGCTCCCCTCCCCACCTGCCATACCACACTGGTCTAGGACAGCAGCAGCATCCTCTTTCCCCTCAGTCACTCAGGGAGATGGCACTCAACGTCTGTGAGAACCAGGGACAGGTCCCAGAGACCAACCAGGCCTCCATCCTTCCAACCCTAGAGGGAAGCTGTGGGTTTGTGTCCCTCAATTTCATGAAGCAAGATTCCATTACTTCTGTCAACTCTGACCAAACTCCAGCGAGCAGATGCTGCACTGTGTGAATACTTTTTCAATCACAGGACTCCATGCTCACTCCTGGACGTACGTGTGTGTGTGTGTGTGTGTGTGTGTGTGTGTGTGTGTGTGTGTGTGTGTGTGTGTGTGTCAGGAAGGAGGGAGGGCAGCCCAAGGTGAGAAGAGGAAATGCCCTTTTAGTGAGGTTGTGCATTCAGCCCATCCACTGGTTCCCCACAGAGAGGACCTGAGTGAGTGAGGCTTCTTATTTCCAGAATCTCCCATTTGGAAAGAACTATTGTGGGAGAGTGGGAGACAGCCAAGACTTCATAGGAATTCATTCAGAAAGCGCTTCCTGTCTGTCCAGGTGGAGCTGCAAAACGCCTCCTGGCAAAAGGCAGACCTTCCCTTTCTCAGTCGCTTGTCAAAGCTTCACAGTGACAATGCAAAGCAAAATGGAATTGGCAGGGCCTTCCCCAAACCCATCCTCGCCACAGCTCCAGAGCTGCCTGCCCACCTACCCACATGAGACAGATGCTGTCAGGCACCCACGCCTGGATTTCCAGAAACACTCGGTGCAGGGTTCGCAACTGAGGGTGCACAAGGGACACCAGGAGTCTGGAAACCCCACAAGTGAAAACACTTAACTTCATTGTGTCCCCTGCCTCAGAAACAAAGATGCACATGGATGGTACGAGGAAAGAAATGGCCTCTTTTAACGTAACAATTGACATCCATCCTCACAACCTTCTGTTTGTCAGATGGGGATTATTCCCATTTAACTGAAGCTCCATGGTTCCCTCCAGTTGGTCTAACTCAACAAGACCAGGGTGGGAGAGTCTGCGGGAGCAGCGTCTGGGAGCCACCCGCAGCAGTCCTGTTCCAGGGGCCCAAATCCCAGGGAAATTGCCTGGCATCACACCTGGCCTTCGGGATGTCTTCACAGCCACCAAGCCTTGGGAGAAGGTCATTAGAGGGTCATCTGAACCTAGGCCCTCACCACGTGCATAGTAAGGATCTGGGGGACGCATGCTGGTAAGCAAAAGGCTATTACATAGGAAGTTCCCCTTTTGAGTTCCTGCTCTTTGCCAACGGAGAAATGCAATAAGCTCTCACTCATCTAGCCTCGGCCCTCTTTGGGGGCCATGGCACGGTCCCTGTGACTAGGCCCCTGCCTAACCGTGCAGGATGACAGCAGCAACAGCCAGGGCATGAGCCTGCAGACAGTGTGCCCACGCTGCCAGGAGCTCTCCTCCATCTCTCTAGAGGCGAGGTCCCAGGAGAAACTCTGAATGGAAAGTTAATCAGTGACTGAGGCAGGCTTTGATCTCAGCTGCTCAAGCTGAAGAGGCAGAAGCCATCAAGCACTCAGGGAAATGTTTGGCCACCTTCCCGCTGTCCTGGAGAACTCCAGGGATTCTACCCCAGTTCCTCTCGGCCTTATGGGCTTTAAGAACCCTGGGACTAAGAATGCCCTCTCTCTGTCTGAAGCCAAAGACTTTGACATGGTACAACGCTCAGCCCACTTCTCACCTTGTTGATGCAGAACTCACAAGAAGGTGAGAGAGAGCCAATCCCACACACCTGGTCTTTGTAAGGAATGGGACCGAGGCCAGGATTGTGCCTCTCCCACATGGACACCCAGCAGCATGCTGACCACCTGCTCCTTGCACCTTTCCTGCCACTACAGTTCTGAGCAGCCGCTGCTCCCTGCTCCCAGGACAGATTCCTCAGAGGTCCTGGCTACATACAAGATGAACACAGCCTCCAAAAAGAAACCAAACACCAAGCCCCTCCTTCCATCATTGCATAAGCACTCCGCCCATCCCACCCCACTAAATCTTGTTCCTGAGGAGCATGTGTTCTCTCTGACGACTTCAGTTGACATTGTAATGCAGAATAAGAAGGGCTGAGCAACTCTAGTTGAAAGACTTTTCAAAGTGTCTAAGTGGGTGTTAAGATGATGAGTCATCAGGCTGAGTCCCTACATGAGGAAAAAAGCTGTAGCGACTTAAAAAAGAACGAGTGTTAGTGGATAAACGAGAGATGACCCAGGGAGATGGCAGAGAGACAGAGGAAGAGGGACAGAGAGACAGGGAGTGGGCACTGACAGATGCATAGACAGGAAAGAACGGCAGGAGACACAGACAGAGAAGGAAGGACAGACGGAGAAGGGACAGATGAAGAGATAGGAGCGCAGGCTCCAACCCAGTCTGAGAAACAGGAGAGTTAGAGAAAAGCTGAGTTCAGACACGTCAGGACCAGAAGCGTATGGCCCCAGCGAGGCGGGCATGTCGCCTGGGCACAAGCTGAAGATGACTGGCCAGAGGAAGAGGATGCTGAAGAGGAGGAGGGAGAGTGGAAGTGCAGCAGAAGGGCCCAGGGCTGGGGCAGCTGCTTTGTGCTAAAACCTGCAGGTTATAGGAGCTCACTCTGACTTTCACTGATGCTTTTCTGACTACTTCTAAGTTGGACTGGTGGCAGGGAATACCTCAGTGACATCTGCATCTCATCTGGAACAAGCTGCACCAGCCCAAAGGTGCCAACCCGCCCATGTCTTATACCCTGTGCTAACCTGGGCACTGTTAAGTCCCCTCCAGCCTGGTGGTGGCCACTGTGGATGCCACCACAGAGATGAGGGGAGGCCTTTAAAGCCACAGCAAAAGGAGACTCAGCCTTTGGAGGGAGAGGGGTGACAGCACCTGCCTCACTGGACAACTGCTGATACATTCACGGGATTACCCCAAGGCAGGGTCATCTCCACTGTGTGAACAGTTATAAACTTTTTCAGATGTTCTGCTAACACATGCTCTAGAGATAAGAATCTCTCTGGTCATTCAGAAGAGCTATTTGTGCAATCTGCCCTTCCTTCCCTCAGAGAGAACCTGCCAGACTCTGGGCATCCATTCAGACTCCACCTCTGCTGAGAATGAGGGAGATAAATTTACCTTAAATGTCACAGCTCGGTTATATTCAGTATGAAATGCACCATCCCTGTCAAATGAGGAGAAAAAGGTGTTAACTTTAAGAATGGTTGTGAAGATACATACCTTTGGTTGCCTGTGGCATCTTAATAAGATTCAGCTTTGGAACACAGTTCAGGATTTTTTTTTAAAAAGAAATAATTGTAAACACAGGGAAAAAATCATTCTGAAATAAAATTAATCTAACTAAGAATCGCTGTTCACTGAGAATATCAATGAAAGCTTTCAGCACTTACTTGGAAATTGGAAATGCCCATGTGTACTTACTGGTAATGGAATAATTCGACCTTTTTGTCCTTTGGGCTCAGGTCAACTTTCATCTTCTTGCACAATTTTCTACTCTCTGCATCACTGAAAGACACAAATGTCGGGAAGCATTTGTTACCAGAAGTCCTCACGAAGGTGTTGACAGCAAAATCTGCTGGTGTCCTAAGAAATAAGGCAGGTAACTTGGAATTCTCAACAGCAGATGAGGACCTTACCATAGACGGGTTCTGAGTGATCTGGAGGGAGAAGAACAACAGAGGGGATATGGGCTGATCAAGACAGACAGGGACAAGCAGACAGGAGAGGACATTATGACTTCTAAGTGACAACACAGACAGGTCCAAAGGAAGTGCCCAGAAGCTTAGGGGGTAGACAGCCTATTGTAAAAAGAAAAACAAGCTCCCATCCTGGCTGCTCTTTAGACTTACTTGGGGAAATATTAAAAATACTGATTTCCTGGCCCTCCCCAGATGGTCAATTCAGAATCTCTGTGAGGTGAGGCCAAGCAAGATTTGTGTTTTTATTTTTTATTTATTTTTTTATTTTTTTTGAGACAGAATCTTGCTTTCTTGCCTAGGTTAGAGTGAGTGCTGTGGCGTCAGCCTAGCTCACAGCAACCTCAAACTCCTGGGCTTAAGCAATCCTACTGCCTCAGCCTCCCGAGTTGCTGGGACTACAGGCACGAGCCACCATGCCAATTTTTTTATATATATATATATATATTAGTTGGCCAATTAATTTCTTTCTATTTTTTATAGTAGAGACGGGGTCTCGCTCAGGCTGGTTTTGAACTCCTGACCTTGAGCAATCCGCCCGCCTCGGCCTCCCAGAGTGCTAGGATTATAAGCGTGAGCCACCGCGCCCGGCCAAGATTTGTGTTTTTAAAGTTTTAGTGTATGCCATCTGCTACACACCATCTGACCAAGGTAACAGGAATACGTTCTACCGTGTTGAGGAAGTCGTGAATCTGAACAGGTACTGACAAAGGCCACCAGGAGGAAGGGGAAGGCTCTGGCTAAAGGAGCCCCTCCCTGACATTTGAGATATAACCCTCTTGCAGTTCTTCCAGCAAGCAATGTCTCTAAGGTGCCAGTCACCACTTACAAAGCACTCATCACAAGCTCATCTAACTCTGCTGTCTTTCCTGTTACACCCATGGGTCTCAAAATGTGCTCCCTGGAACAACAGCATAAGCATCATCCAGGACCCTGTTAGAGACACACATTCTCAGCCCCGTTCCAGATCTACAAAAGCAAAACCTCTGGGTACTTAAGCAATTGCTTTGAACAAGCCTTCCAGCTCATTCTGATATGTGCTCACGTTTAGGAATCACTGTGCTAGACCAGCATCCTACACTGGCTCTTCCTCCTCTCCTCTACCTGCACCAGCTTTGGCCCTGTGTCCTACACCAGCTCCTTGGAGACCTTACTGCTCTCACAGCCTCCCCTTCTCCGCTGCATGCGGCCAGTCACCCCACACGCACACCACCCTGCTTGTGACTTCAGGGCCATCTCCCCACATCAGAAAGGACTCAGTGAGGGGATCTCAGCCATCCCACACCCACTGATCCCCACTGGTCACACAGCTGGCCTCTCTGGGGGACTTTGTTCGGTCAGGTACGATAGACAGCCAATGCAAGGACCTTTATCTCCCACCTGCTTATACACCTCACCTCCACTGACACCCATCGGCTTCACACAGGTGTGCACCTGCCCCACAACACACAGACTAAGCAAACCAGTAGGCTTGACTCTAAAAGTAACACTCATCAATGGACATGCAAATCTGTAGGACTTCATTTTAAATGATGCAATTTGAGAAGCATGTCTTACTGGAGAGGTGTGAGTTGTCCCATGAGGCAGGCGGGTTCTCTGGGAGATGAGAAGTGTCACTCTGCCCCCACCTTACCCAGGCCCAGGGGTTTCCCTCCCTTCCAGTCCCAGCTGGCCAGCCATCTCTGTGGCCACTGCAGCTTCCAGCCCCAGGTCTGAGACAGTGGGGACTCAAGAAACACATGACAAATTGAGAAAGGAAAGGCTAATGGCACTGCAGTGGTTCCTCCCCAAAGGTGGCAAGGGCACATTAAGATAGAGTCTGGAGAAAAGGAATAAGCTGGCAGCAGGGAGAGGCAGGGGCCTGCGGCACACATCAGAAGGCAGTCCAGGGCATCTGCTCTCTGGGAACTTTCTTATCCTAGAGCCCTCTGCTATACGTGCCTATCCTGACACTGGCTATTACAGTCTGGGTCCGCCCCGCCTGCAGGGGCTCTGTGGTGAAGCTGCACTGACAGGTGGAGGATTTGTTTGAGGACAACTGCGAATGAGGTTGCACTTTCCCTGCCTGAGTTAATTCCCCTAGAAAGAGGGCTCACCTTGGGATGTTTACAACTGTTCACTTGGCACTTTCCTTGCTGGGCTTTGGTCTGTGGTGCTCAACTGTCTGTGACCACTTACGGTCCAACAAACAGTGCTGGGGCAGGAACTAGGGCTCAGATGCCCACGGCCTCCATCAGCCCCATCCGGGTGGCTGGCAGGGTGCCCACGGGGCCTGCCCCCCACCTCTCACACGCACACACAGTGCCTGCCCCGGTGGCTCAGACGCTACACAGCAGCCTGGAGGGGAAGAACTCCACGCCTTGATGCCAGACTCTCTCTGCCATCACGCCTGGCCGGCAGCCTCTGCCTGTGACTTCCATGAAGCAGGGAGGATGGCAGAGCTCAGGTCATCCCAGCCCCAATCCTGCCTGGTCCTCAGGAACCCACTCCATGGAACAGTCCTGCCATCGTAGCCTTCAGTCCCCTCAGGGCCCAGGCCAGGCTTACGGGAAAGGCTCCAAACCAGCCAGCTGCCTGGCTGGCTGGCAGAGCTGGGCCCAGAGGCTCCCCGTCTGTTCCTCTGTGTGGCCTCCCAGGTCGGCCCAGCCTGCGGCCACCACCCTCAATCCAGTTAAGCGACTGCCCATCTCTGCCACAAAACTCCTTGTTGCAGACTGTGCAACCTTCCTCCTTAGGTTAAGTGACACTACTGAGCAGTCTCTGCCCTCCCCCTCCCCTAAACTCACTCTCTTGCTTCCCGTCCTGTGTGAGGACACTTCTGGCACAGACCCGAGAGCCTTGGCCACAGGCTCCGGTACCCCTAATCTTTCCCTGGTATCTCCTGCTCCATGAAAGACGGCATGCCTGACATCTTCCCAACTTGTCCCCAATTGTCCCATCAGAAACGTGTGCTCCATGAAGGCGAGGTATTTCTCCAGGGTTACAGCAGCAGCTGGCACATAGTAGGCACTGTATAAATAACCTGAGTGAATGGGTGAATGAATGAAATGAATGATGCTGTCTTGCTGCCCCTGGGACGAGGCTCTGCATTTCTGGCTTTCCGGACTCCCAGGGTTCTCCACGGAGCTCCAGGAATCCTGCCAGGTGATAATTCCTGACAGTGTTCTCTCGGCTCTGCTCCCCTCCCTCCTACAATTCTGTCTCTCGGAGGGTATGAATGTGTGCATGCGCACAAACGTGTGCAGGCACATGTGCATGTACTAATTGTGCAGTGCAGACAATGAAAGTCAGAAGAGTTCAAGAAGGGAAGAAAATTACCCAAGCTCAGGGACTTAAAAGGATCTGGGTTGATAGATTAAGTACAATTAATTGATCTACTGCCCGCCTCCCTCTCTACCTCCCTTCCCCAGCCAGTGACTGAGGCTCTAGGGAAGAAAGGAGACAAAGACAGTAAGCAGGGAAACGAGATGCTTTGCTGGAATGAAGGGATGAAGAATACCGCCATGGATCCTCATGAGTGGGCCTCGCAGTGCACAGGCCCTCCCCTGCCACTTCCCCGGCCCCCACCCTGCAGGAGCCAGCCATCCCTCTGCCCACTCACCCACCCCTCCAGGGGGTAAGGTCAAGGCCACCGATCTGCTACATCCTATCCCTCCCCACCTGGCTTGGGTCTCCTCCATGGAAAATGTGAAAGAAAAGACCACAGAGGCCTTGCACACTTCCCTCCCCACCCCACACCCAGACAGACACACAGGCATGGTGTTATCTTCTGAATTTGCAGTGGGGGAGATGGCTCCAGCCTGGAGTGGCTGCTGCAGGTACATGGTGCTGTGCTCACGAGATCTTCATGTGCAGTAATAATCACCCAAGAGACTGGTGACTTACGCTCCTTGGAGTCACACTCAGGGATCAAACATGGGGGTGAGAGCAGGAAGAAAGGGAAGAAACAAGGTGTTGGAGGCCAAGAAAGGGGGTGTCTGGGGTCTTTCACAAGTCCAGCCCAAGTACCAAACCTTCCCTAGAGGAAAGCTCCACAGCCAGCTGGTATAACAGCTTCTACCTCTGGCTCTACCCTCCGCCAGCCTGTGGCCTCTGGAGGACCCTTGATTTCCTGTACTGCGAAATGCAGGAGTTGTTCTCATAAGCTGAATGGAGCTTCTGATTCCTCTACAGGGTCAAGTAACATTAAAGCATCAGGACAGGCCACCTTGTGTCCTGACACATGAACCAGGAGCCAGAATCCAGGATAGAATGATGGAGATTCAAAAAAATCTGAAGCCCCATCACCTCTCCCCTCCCAACTGGATCCTCACTCAGACAGTCCACATTCTTACGTCCACGGCGCACCATGTTCAGCCTCCACCCAGTGCCGTGGAAAAAGACTACACTGGAAAGCAGGAGGCAGGGCCTCTGCCTGTCTGGGCCATTGATGTTGTACCCATGGCTACCCTAGGCTTTCTGGGTTCCCTTTCCCCATCAAAAAAGGGATAAATGTCTTCCCCCCATCTGCTAGGTCTAACAGGGCAGGATGCTTTGCAGAGGGACCTGTGATCCCTTGGGGATGGGCAGGAGAAGAAAGGCAGAAGTGCCCTCACTTCACAGACATGAAGCAGATGGGGGACGAGGAGTCAGCAAGAAACGCTGAGAGTGAATGCTCGGTGCCAGGCCCAGGACAATGTGGAAGAACCTGGTTGGAGGACACGATGAGAGAACGGTCCTGGAAGAGCCAAATCTGGAACTGGGACAGGACTGGGTGGTCACACAGCACTCTCTGATAAAGGGACTCTCTATACTCGGGATACTCCCCAATGTCACTGTTCCACTTGGAACCTAGGTAAGAAGGTGCATGACAAGGTCTGGATGATGTGGTACCGTGGATAAGAGTAACGGGAATGAGAGAGACATGCACGGTACCTCCTCTTCACTGCCTTCCCAGCCCACAGATCTAAGGCTCTGCTCCTCACGGGGACGTGTCACCCCAAAAAGTGCATGCCAATGTGCCAGGAGGTACCTGAAGCCACAGGATAAACATAGAACTTCTCCTGGGCATCAATTTTATCCCAAGGTAAGTGATGTTGAATGTGCTTATAAACAAAGGAACAAATGTTAATTTTTAGAAGAAAACGTAAGACTTTAAAATATGTTATGCCTGCCCTTGCAGGCCCCCAATCTTGCATCTGGGAAGCCATTGCTGCTGCAGAGAAATCAAGCAGATGGGAGGAGGAGAGCAGGGAAGAAAGCAAATGTGGTTAGGCAATGAGTTTAAACCCCAGGAAAAGAAAGCAGCGAGAACCTGACAGCACAGCCTTGCCCCCCGTGGCGCTCAGCCTCAGGAATTAGCACGCCAGGCACCGCTCCACGCTGGCTCCAGCTCAGCGGCCCAGACAGCAGCACTCCATGCCAAGGCCGAGCCCCAGTGCCAGGCCTCAGGGCACAAGGGGAATACCAACTCCCTCATACACAGCCCACTTAACAGCCGGACAACCACCACCAGCCAGAGCAAGTGTGGCTGCTGAGGTCTGAGCCAGGAGGTGGAGTGAGGGGAGGGAGAGCTGACAAAACCCTGGACAGAAGCCAGACGCCCTCCAGACACTGCACAGCAACAAGTTACAGGGCCTGGGAGCAGGGAGGGAGCCCAGGGAGAAGGGTGTGCGTGCTCCTGCAGGTGCACAAGCAGGAGTAGGGAGGGAAAAGCCAGAAATGTTAAAAAAAAAAAAAAGGGAGGAAAAGAAATATCTATACAGACAGAGAGAGGAGAAAGAGGCCAAAAGAAGTGGCAGGCAGGGACTCAGAGTAGGGAAAAGGCAACAGAAACCTAGTAAGGGGGTAGAAAAAAAGGGCTAGGAAAGAGAGGCCCTCAGGGGGAAGGAAAGGAGACACCCAGAACAAGAAGGGAGAGGCACAAAGAGAAAAAGACCCCTCCAAAGACTGGAGGAGGCACATGCTACCAAGGCTGGCAGCTTCCAGCATTTTTTGAACCAGGCTATTTAGGGATGAGAATAACTTGGAAGATTCAACTCCACATTTCACAGAAGATTAAACTGAAGCTCAGAGAGGAACAGTGACTTGCCAAAGGCCTCCCTGCTATTTGTTGTCAGAGTCTGCACTCAAAGCCAGGTCCCCGGACCTGCAGTGCTGCAGATTCCACTGCTCCCCATACTTCCTAAGGGGCAGAGCAAAACACCTCGCGGGCTGGGGCTCACCCCCACGCCCAAGGTCATCCTCACCCCATAGACAGTTGTTAAATGAACAAACATATCATCTCTCCCCCTCCAGCTTCTTCCTGAGCAATCTTGCCCAGGTGGACAACAATAACAGCATGGTATCTCACATTTAAATTGTGTTTTCTATTCTAGAAAGAGCTTTAATTTACCTGATCCTCATCATAGACCTGGGAAGAAGGGAGAATGTGTCCCGCTGTCCCGTTTCACAGCTGAGGAAACTAACTTGTCCAAAGTCACAGGGCCAGCTGGGGGCGGAGCTGCCCTTCACCCCAGGCCTCCTCTGCGTCTGAGGCTTTTCCCCTTGCTCCACACCCCCACGAAGACCTCCTCCCCAGTGCAGCGTCTTCTTTCGCCCCAGATGCTCCCTGTCCCCCTCAGCTGCTCTTCAAAGGGAAAAGCAGAGTCGCTCGTCCACCCCCGACCTTCCCAGTCACCCCACCCAAGCCCCGTCTGCATCCTGGCCGCCAAGTCTTTGCGGACAGGGAAGGAAGCAGAGCTGGGAAGGACGATAGACGGGAACCTCGGCAGGGCCCGTTGGAAGGGAGATAAGCTCTGGCCGACCATCTGGTGCTTGACAGCAGCGGGGATAGAGACAGCAGCGTGGCTCTGTGCCACCTGCTCACTCCTCCGCAGACAGCACCAGAAAGCGCTCCCAACAGCACTGCTGCCCGTCCCCGAGAGGGTCTCCTTCACAGACCCACAGACACAGACTGCATGCACGCAAGACAGCAGCAAGGGCTGCCATCACAGGGCCCCGTGGCATGAACATGAAGGTTCCCCATGCCCTGGTGATTAACAGGGCCAGTTTGGAAGTCCAGGAAGTGGGAGTGGACAAGCTGGAGGGCAGAGTCCCACTTTTGCCCTTGGGGATCTCCTTATCTAACAGGGGTCTGTGAGAACTGCCACCTAGAGTGGCCTGCATGGACCAGAGCCCAGAGTCCTGTCCCTTGGGCTGCTCTGGGAAGATTTAGTTGCCTCTAATTTCAACCTCAGACTGAGATATACCTTCTTCCAACATAATCTGCTTTGGTTCCATAATCCACCTACTTATCTAAAGTATTTTAAAAGCTATTTAACATTTCAGGTTCTACTTCCTATACAAGGATAAATTCAATAAATTGACGCAACTACATGGAACAGTCCATCCCTTCATCATAAGGTCACCTCTTTTAAGCTCTAAGGTGCTTCACCAGCCCAATTTTAATTTCAGCACATCAAAATGCACAGGATTTTCCCTTTGACACTTACTGACTCTAGATGTCATGTCTGCAAACGTTGAGTCCTGAATTCTAATCTTGGCAGTCTGTCTTCACACCCTGACCCCTGACCCTATTTTTGTTCCGGCATCCTGCCCCAGATGTTCTCCAGCACGTGGGGAACGGGAGCAGGCCTTTCGCCTCCACAGGCAGGGATCCGGGCCTGCGCTTCAGCGAGCTGCCTTCAGGGAAAGCCAGGGCATTGTGAACTCGAGGTGCTGAATTCTCAGGCCTTTGCACCAAATTTGAACTTCACCTCCTCTGTGAAGCTTTTCTCGACCTTCTCAGGCAGAATGAGGTGACTTTCCCTCCATACACGTAGCCTCTGTTCACAGCACGTTTCACCTGGCATTCTAATCCCTCAGAATGTGTCTGCATCCTCCTTGCACTCTGAGCTCCTGGAGGAAGCAGTTATTTATCCGTGTGGTCTCAAAGCACACAGTACGTGCTTCATAATGGCTGAATGGACCCAGACGGAGGCAGCAACTAAGCCACAGCTCCTCTGCCCATGTCTGCCGACTTTAAGCCTCTTCAGAACTCCCTACGAGAAGGCTCCATCAGCTGGGCAGAACTGCTGCCATCTTCAGATGGGGAAATTCCAAAGTGCCTTGTCCCATCTAATAGGCTTTGTCACTTTGCCGATCACAGAGAGCCCTGCTGGTAAAACTCGAGAGACATACCTGGAGACAAGAACAATTTCAGACCAACTGTGGACTGGAACTAACCAGCGGTTAAGACCTGACCGCCCGCCTCGCGAGCAATGCTTTCTGTTCGCTCAGCATCCGAATGGATCTGGAGCTACAAGGCCAGACACAGACACACACATCCCTACAGCACACACTGCTTGGCCAAGACTTGTTCTCCTGGTCTCATTCTGCTTTGTCAAAATATGAATCTCCTTCAATTCTCTTCAATCACAGGCAGTAGAAGCTTGAGGTCATCAACTTACAAATCAGTTGTGTCCCAAAAATTCACGTGCAGAACAGCCATTTAGAACTCAGACTGAAGAGGAAGAGGATTGCACTTGAGCAGACCCCATAGGAGTTCACTTAACCCTCAGGGTAGCAGCAGGGCTTGTGACTTGGGCAAGAATACATGTTATACATTAAAGATGGAAAGACCTTTACAGGCTGAGCCACCTCAGAGGCCAAGGCACAGTCAGATCAACCAGCTGACCTGCTACCTTTGCTCTGTGGGCAGCAGAGACGTCAGTGGTAATGACCTGGGCGGCAGGTGAAGCCCACGGCCCCTGCTGCGAGTCTACCACAAGAACACCCACTGGACAACTCTGAAAATTACCCTGCCTCTCTGGGCATCAAGTCCTCCTCTGTAAAACAGGGAGGCCTCCTCTGCTACCCGCTTCCCTCAAGGAAGACAAAATAAATCAACACAGTGAAAACACAGTGGAAAGTGAAAGCTCTATGGAAGAAGGGAAGAAAGGTGGCTGAGGCTGGAAACGAAGGGAGGAAAAGCCAGACCTCCTTTCCTCTAATCCAGAGGGGACCTCAAAGTATCAGTAGGGGAAATCTCTCCATCACATCTTCTCTCCCAGAGAATTCACCAAGGGACAGTTCCCTACACCGCCCACCAAAGCCCAAGTACCCCCCGCCTGCCAGCCACTGTGTCCCAGCACATACCCACAGTCTACCCAGCAGATGGTGCCTTGTCCTTTCACTGCCTGGGCCACGGTGGACAATAACCTGAGATGATTTTCAGCTGCCGCCTCTGTAAAAAACACAAAATATTAAACATCTGCACCCAGGGGTAAAGAAGGATGGAGACTGATGGAGACCAACCCCAGAGCTGGTGGGGAAGTCTCGAGCACCAGTTAAAACACAGCCCAGCTCTTCTCAGAGACCCCTGACCCCACCATCCGCAGGGGCCCTCCTTAGACACAGAACCCCCAACTCACCCCTCCTTTAAGCCACACCTCACCCCTTACTCTCCCAAGAATCTCTCAGCCAGACCCAGAGTCCAATAGAATCTCTGACTCATATCTTTCTGGGACAAATTTTGAAAATTCTGGCCAGGTACGGTGGCTCACACCTGTAATCCTAGCACTTTGGGAGGCCAAGGCGGGCAGATCATTTGAGCTCAAGAGTTTGAGACCAGCCTGAGCAAGAATGAGACCCTGTCTCTACTAAAAATAGAAAGAAATTAATTGGCCGACTAAAAGTATATAGAAAAAATTAGCCAGGCATGGTGGCGCATGCCTGTAGTCCTAGCTACTAGGGAGGCTGAGGCAGGAGGACTGTTTGAGCCCAGGAGTTGCTGTGAGCTAGGCTGACACCACAGCACTCTAGCCCAGGCAAGAGAGTGAGACTCAGTCTCAAAAAAAAAAGAAAAGAAAAGAAAAGAAAATTCTATAAACAAAAAAATTACAATCCTGTAACTAATGGAGGGAACAATTTTGCCGATTCCATGCTCATCTGCCCTGGTGCCCCACTTGGAAGCTGGGTCCGGATCCTACTTTTACTTGTGCAGCACACTCAGCGAGGAGCTCGGTACAACCGGTGATAAAACGAGCTCTGTACAAGACACTTGTCTCTGATGGGCCAATGTCAAGTATACCTAAGCCACATTTCACAGCCCATTTCCCTGGAGGCCATGGGGTAAGAGCCGGCCCTAGCAGCATCTCTGGGATCAGCTGCAAGAACATGGACTATGCCTTGGGGAAGGATGGAGTGAACGCGAGAAAGGACGAATTTCTCATTGGTTCAAATGTGGGTCTGGGCAAATCACCTGGATACAACTGTGGGAGGCAGAGTCTTAGGGACAGAGCCTCTGTGGCCCAGATTTCAACACTGCCAGCCTGCAACGATCCACTGCAGAGGGGCTGTGGCTAGTGTTTGACACCTGTGGCTAGCAGACTCCTGAATCACCTTGTCCCAGGTGACACCTGTGAGCTCACTCAAAAGGCCTTCCAGGCACATGCTGGTGGGGAGAGCGAGCTGCTGCCTTCTCCCACCAAAAGCCACATGATACATCCCAAAGCCAAGCAGAAATGATGTCTGAATTATGTGCCTGCACAGATCTCCTCTTCTAGTGTGGATAATGGCAGCTGTTTGTGAATACAGAGCATGCTGAGCCTTTCACAGGAGCGAACAAAAAGCATCGTTCAGGAGACATGCACAGAGTCACTCGGAGGAGGCACTCCCAGGAAACCACGGCCAGGGCAACAGGAGGAGGGCGAGACAGGCGGGAAAGCCATTGTCCCACCCTTCAGACTGGGCCTGGGAAGCAGGGGGAGGCAGAAACAAAGCAGGGCAACACCCAGTGCCCCTATGCCAACCCTGCCTTTCAGCAACGGAGAGGGAGGCACTGCTTGGAGGGATGCAAGGTAAGAAAATCCAGTTTCTGCTCAATAACCCCACTGAAGGTCACAAGTCTCATGCAGTGAGCATGGGCAGGGAGGCAGGAAGACAAAAGGATTGCCCAGGCCCCACTGCGCAGGCAGAGGCAGGATGCAGCCCGGCTGGGGGAAGCTCCTCCATCGATGCCTGGAGATGGTGGCTGGACACAGCAGGAGAAAAAGACAGCAGGAGAGCTCGGGCCCTGCCTCCCGCCTGCACGCCACTAACAGCAGACCCCACCTTCCCACTCCACAGCTTCCCATCATGACTCCCTGGTCTCAGCCCCTTCTGGTCTCAAAGCCCTTCTGTCACTGCAGAATCAATATGTTTCTTCCTAGCCCCAATCACAGGAAATGAGAGGCAGGGGGCGCAGGGGACCAGCTCTACCATCTACTAGCTGGCAGGCCTCAAACGAGTCAGTTATTCTCGGCTTCAATCTCCTCATTTGTAAACTGGATGTTATCTGACAACCTGCACTGCCTCCCTCGTGGCAAAGCAGCAAATGAGACTGTATTATAAAAGCACCTTGTAGAGTCCTTATGAGATGATGAGCTTGTGCTACGGGATCCACCCCCGTGAAGGAATGGAGCATGTTCCTTCACTGACAACCACGCCAGCTGCAGGAGTATCCAAGGGGGTGAGCCACGTTTACTCACGTTCCAATACCCAGGCCTCAAGAGGCACACTGCTTCTCCCTTGCCTCAGTTTCTCCCTCATGCCTGCCAGCAGAGAAATGCTAGTCCCATGCTGGGCTCCCGACAACACACTCGGGAGGGTGTGCCAGACCCTCAGAAGGGGAAGGAGCAACAAGTGGCAAGGAAAGCAGCCATGTGCCAGGGATGCCTGGAGGATGTACGCTTTTGGGAGGGACACACGTCCAAAGCATCCATCAACCCCAAGTGCCAATGAGTGTCGAGGCCGAGCTGCCAGGGAGAGCTGTGCCCGGAACTGGCCCAGCCACTAGCTGCTGCTTCTCCAGGGCCACAGAAAACTTGGCATCCTTAGAAGCAGCAAAAAACACTTAACTCTACTGGAACAACTTCAACAGAGTCAGCCGTTCACCCTTCCCCAAGGTTGCTGCCAAGAGCCAAGCAAATCTCTCTCCAGGAGCTGTGCCCTCATCAGCCCAAGGTCAGAAGAGGCAGGCCGCTGCTCCCGCCCCCTGCAAGGCTGCTGTGTCCCAAGCTTAGAGCCCACCCCAGATGCAATCTTGCATCTGACCCCAGTGCAGGACAGATGGGCCAGGCAGGGCCAGGGCTGCCAGCCTGGGTGAGTGCCCCCAAGCCTGGGACCTATTCAGCTGGCCACGGGCCGGCTCAGCCAGTTAATCAACAGCTCTGGTGAAGCATGGCCTGGCAGGACTCGGCCTTTCGCCTGCACAGGAAGACAGGACGTCCGTCCCTGGCACCCACCACCGTGACCCTCTGTCCTCCTTCACACATGGCCTTTCCTTCTTGAGGTAATGAGAGGCTCCAGAGGATTTTTCCTAACAAATACTCATAAAAAGGAACTGAAATGACCCTTGGGGATCCGAATCTGCCAGAATGCCTCTACGTGCCTTTGCCCCTGCCTTCAGTGGAAAGCTGACAAATCAGATATCCGCAGACCCTGCCTGAGTGGCTTCAGTTCTAAGGTCTCCCCACCTACCTCTGCCCCACCCCTTCCCTTCCATCCCATCCCCCCAGCAGAGGACCCAAAGCCAGGGGGGACACTCACCAGATCTGGAGTAAAGTACCAGCACATTATTCCTGGTTCTGAGAAGTTTTTTCAAGTCCTTGGAGTCAGAGATTCTCTCAATGAGTGAGGAGCCCTTCAAAGAGGACAGCTGAGTCGGCAGGACCACCTGGGGATCAAAGAGCCAAAGACTGTGAGCCCCAGCTTCTGGCCAGGCCTAGGGAAGAATCGATGCCCAGATGTGCTGCCGAGAGCACATTTTACTTCCAGGGGATCAGGACAAACCAACACTTCTCACAGCACCACAACTACCTCTTCACCTCTAGGGACACCTCCCAGCCCATTCCTGGGCTCAAATTCACCCTTCCTCTGCATGTACTATTTTTTTTTTCTGTTTTACACAGAGTCTTACTCTGTCATCCTGGCTAGAGTGTGCAGTGGCATCATCATAGCTCACTGCAACCTCAAAGTCCTGGAATCAAGCTATCCTCCTGCCTCAGCCTCCCAAGTGGCTGAGACTACAGGTACATGCCACTATGCCCAGCTAATTTTTCTATTTTTTTTTTTGTAGAGACGGGGTCTCACTCTTGCTCAGGCTGGTCTCGAACTCCTGGCCTCAAGCAATCTTCCTGCCTCAGCGTCCCAGAGTGCTAGGATTACGGCTGTGAGCCACGGCACCTGGCCTCCGCACACATAAGGCTGTATGGACTGCATATGCATACAGCCAGCCCTCCACATTTGCAGATTCAACCAACCATGGATCAAAAATATTAGGAAAAAAATACAACAATAAAACACATTGTTTTATGCTTCTACAGTATAACAAGGATTTATATAGCATTTATATTAGGTATCGTAAATAATCTGGAGATGATTTAAAGTATATGGGAAGATGTACATAGGTTATAGGCAAATACTATGCTGTTTTATATATAAGACTTGAATACCCATGGATTTGGGTATCCTGGAGGTGGCGGTCCTAGAACCAGTCCCTCATGGATACCAAGGGATGTGTACAAGCATTCTGCATTGTTACCCACCAATCAAGAGCCCCTAGGAAGTCAACATCTGTATTCCACACATTACCTCAAACACCAGGCACTGGGACAACATGAAAACTCCATCACGCCCAGAAGCACCAAAGCATAAAATACACAGAGAAATAAAATCATCCCTTAACTTTTAGGGTGGGAACAGCGGGGTGAGAGGTTTTTAACTTTTCTCACTCACCCAAGTGATCTCAGGAGGCCAGGCAACAAATAAGCCAATTCTCCCCTAGAAACCCTGGGGAACTTTAGGAACTAGAGGTACCAGGCACCCCTGCAGGCACAATGAAGAGTGGGCTAAAAGCAATGGGTAGGGGGAGGTTGTTAAAAGTCCGAATAAGGAGCAAACACAAAGCTCGTCCAGTCCCCTCGTCCAGTCCCCTCGTCCAGTCCATGCAGCTGCACAACAGCCCCTTGTCCACCAGACACAAGACAAGGGGGTTACTATATGGAGAGAATGAGTGAGAAGAGCCCCACTGGAAGACACCAGATGGAGGGTGGAAAGGCGGTCCTCAGAGAAAACAAGGGGATTAAGGGAAAATCTACAAAACTGAACCTTGAGATCACCCATTCCTCCAAGCTCCAACCCCTGAGCATCTCCCTTCCTCTTTCCAGAATGCTGCCTGCCAATCCTGTTCCTCAGGCAAGAAATTAGAGAATTTTCTCTGGGGAAACAGGAGCCCAAGAGAGCAACCAAAAGACAGTGATTTGGAGATTCTCCAATGAAACAACTGAGTATCTGTTCAAATCTCCACTGTGAGGCTCTCCCAGTAAACAAGCATCCTCTACTCCTTCCTCACACTCACAGAGCCGCTGATCCACATGCTAGTGCCACCAATCCACGCACTAGTACCTTGCTCTTCAATGCAGACAGCTAACCAAGGTTCACGAGATATCTTCTGTCTCAACACAAAAGACAGAGACCAAAACAAACTAATGGAAAGATGGAACTTAGAAGAACAAAATAAAAAGTACAGAAGAAAACAACAAAATTATAACTGTTCTCAGAGAAAAAAAATGGTGTACCCATAAAATAAGAATAAATGCTATGAAAAAGAAATAGTAAAAGGGAATCAGGAAAAACTCTTAGAAAGTAAAACTATCACAGAAATAATTACAGTTGGAAGTACAGTTGAAAAAAATCTCCTAGGAAATGAAACAGAAAGATCAGGAAATAAAAAGGGATATGAGATAAGAAAAATAAGAGAATGTACCCATTAAGTGCAAGAACCAAATTAAAGGGACTCCAGAAAAAGAAAAATACAGAGGAAAAGAAATTATTGAAAATTCAAGAAAATGTCCCATGACTGAAGGATGCGAGTCTCCAGTTGAGAAGGCCCAGCATCATGAATAAAAAAAGGCTCTCACCAAAGCCTATCACTGAAAACTTTCAGAATGCTGTTGACAAAAAGGAGTTTCTAAAAATTTCAAAGAGAAAAAAACACCACATACAAAAAAGATCAGGAGTCAGAACTGGCATAAGACTGCTCATCAGCACACCAGAAGGCAATGAAGCATTCTCCAGGAATGTGAATTCCAACTGGAATTCTATAACCAGCCAAACTATCCATCAATCCTGAGAACAGATTTACTCAAACAGACTAAAGATATCAGTGTGCAAAATTTACCACCAACACATCCTTTCTCAGGAAGTACTGGAACCCATGTTCCACAAAAATAAGAAGTAAAGGAAGAAGGAAAGAGAGATGGAAGCTAGGAACCAAAGGATCCAACAGAAGAGGGAGGCCAAGGAGAATTACCACATTGATGGTGAAAAGAAGTCCCAGGACAGCAATTGTTCAGCACCGTTCAGAGCAACCAGACCAGGATAAAGCAAGAACAGAGCTGAAATAGAGGAATGTGGTCAATAAAAAGAAGCAACTGCAGGTTATTTGATATACTCAGCTTGATCATACTGCGAGGAGTTTTAATTTTTGCCATAAAAAATTTAAAAAGAAATAATCTGACCACAGTTACACAGCTAATAAATAAAGCCAGGATCTAAATCCCAGTCTCTCGAATTTGACCCCATGCCTTCTCACCTCACTGCCTCTTTGCAGCCAGAAATCTTGAGTTCAGTCTGAGCTCTACCACTCAACAGCTAAGATGCCTAGGAAACGTCACCCAACATTTTAGAGGCTTGGTGACTCACGTCTGACACGGAGATAATAATACCTCCCTCACGGGATTGCTGTGAGGACAAAATGGGATCACTTATTGAAAGTGCTTTATAAATCATAAAGCACTGTGATAGTCATCAGTTACCATAATATAGAACACAAATTTCCATCTCAGCAGAGTATAAGACTGAAACATGACCATATTCTAGTGTTTCTAAATATAATCTGCCATTGGATTCAAAGCTTCCTTCTCCCCAGAGTACAGCCACCCAGGAGGAAGCCAAGGACCTATTTCTCCTTCATTCTACCCTCCCAGGGCTGCATGCAACACCTGGGGACACACTGCCCTTACGCAGGCCACCTTAAGAGCTCACCAAAGCGCTCATCCTGCCATGCCCAGGGAGCAATGGACTTCAGACGAAAAAGTCCACAGCTCAATGCACATGATTAAACGGAAAAAAAAACCAACAATCCATTAGAAAAGCACATTGACTTGCTTCTCTGTCTTCAATCTTCAGATAATCTGACCAGTCAAGAAGAACTGCCCTTGCCCAGTGCCTCAGGACTGCGACCTACAGACCAGCGCCCCTGCACTCTGGAACTCTGGAGAAGAAGGGAAGATGGAGGGAGGGTGAGCACTCACCTGCCGGGTGGCAGAGCCGCAGAAACAGCAACATGTCTACATGAAAACCACAGAGCCTGGGGCTGGGCATACCCTCAGCTTCCTTCCTACAAAACTCCGTCAGTCTCCCAGGTCATGAGGTCACCACGGGCCACCTGAGATTAAACAAACCGCTTTCCAGCCAGCCACCAAAGCCTCTGACCCAGTATTTAGTGGCACACAGTAGAGAACATAAGCTGAACCAGAAATGCACTGAGCTGAGCATATTCACTTTGCTTGAAAACCATCACCAGGAGTGAAGCTGGGGTACAGACTGGGCACCTCCAGCCAGCCTGGCTTTGAGCCTTATGAAGGGTCCATCTGCTCCTACCCCCACCCCCACCCCGAGATTAAGAGCACCGGAGGGCAGGGTACAGCCCCAGGCCAGGCCCATTGAACGCCCTCAGGAAATGTTTGTCCAACATAATAAACATGACAAATCTCACTTGTTACAGCACTCCTGACCTTCGCAGAGGTCACTCACTACCAGCACATTGTGGGGTGAGTCCACAGCAGCTTGAGGGGGCCCCAGACAAGACCATGAAACCAGACTGACCACAGCGAGGTGCAGGTCTGGGTGGGAGCGTGACAGGAGAAGGCGGCGGGGCGGGGCTTGACAGCCCAGCTCAGAGACCGGCCTGGGGCAGGGAGCGCATGGGACGAGTCACTGATAGGTCAGCAGGGAAGGAAGGGACAAACATGGTACTGAAGGGACTCAGCTATTGTGACCTCAGACCGGGCGGCAGCCAGGGAGCCTGGAGATGGAGGGCCCAAACAGGTCAATGCAAAAGCCTCCAAGGGAAAAACAACAAAACGCATGATTGCTGATGGGCAAGCAAGGAAGAGACAGTCTAAATAAATAGTGTAAAGTCACTCCCAGGATTCTGGGCCGGGAGACTGGAACGTCAGCCGGAGATGGAACAATGGAAAGTGGAGGAGGCTTTTCCCTTATGATGGGGAAGGTGACAAGGGGCTCAGGTTTTGGACATGTGGACAACAGGCATCAAATACAGGCATCCTCCAGGCTGTAGGGTGAGCCGCGATGTAAGCAAAGTCTCCTCGGGCCAGGATGAGAGAGAGAAGACAAGGAACACCTCAGTCACGGAGGAGGAAGGAGCAGGAGGGAGGCCGGGAGGGCTGCGTCAGCTCGGATGGGCAGGAGACGCTTACAGAGAAAAGTGGGGGATCCACAGGCAGGCCGAGCGGAGAGAGGCTGGGAAAGGGCCCAGGAACATCAGTGAGAACATCAGTGGTGGGGGTGGGCAGCGGTTGGCAGCCTCGCTGCCAGGAAGAGAAAGCATACCCTGCGCAGGAGCTGGGGTGACAGAGGAGGAGCAGGGTC